AAAGGCAACGTAATTTGAGAAGTTCCGCTACAAGCCCCGCAGGAATCAAATCTATCTATTTTTAATGGCCGTGGGTTATTTGTATTTTCCGAGCATATCCAGTCTCATCTCGTACGAAGCGCTATCTTGCTGAAAAGGTTGTTTGCTGGAGTTGAAGAAGTAGGACTTTGGGGTCAAGTCAGACTATGAGCCACACAGGGGCACATTACCATTCGGTACATGCTTGATTACGGTATAAAGGGAACCTTTCTCTGGAGCGTGCCGTCAATAGACATGTTATGATAACGAGAGTGTCTGACTTCAGCTTTACCATAGAACACGCGGGCGGATTCAATGTGCCATGTTCACTTACTGAAAATGACGCCTAAAAGGCATTGCAAGCATATATGAAGACATAGGACCAAAAACCTGTTGTTTGATTGCAACACGTATTTATAAAAATCATGGCCAGGGCTCTAGTAACATGGCTACATACGTACGTAAGAAGGAAACCAATATATAATCCAACTAACACGTTCGGGCTATGGAGATTCTATACTAACTCGATATCGGAGAGACAGCAAAAGAAACAAATAAAGAAAAAAGCCCGAATCCTATAACGAAGGAGACTGCTTATCTGGCCCCGATGGCCCACTGTATGCTCAAGATCCCAATAAAGCGTGGAATGATGACATTCCTTTACCCAACAAGTAGTTGAAATACTTATCAGCACCTGGAGTTTCTGCAAAGGCGTCACGCAAGTGCCTCAGAATAGGGTCCTCTTCGTTGTCCATCCGCCCATACAAATCCTTTTCCAGTGGTCAGATTTCCCGGATTCTGATTGAAGAAACGACTCCCATAAAGATAACCCCACAGATTGAAACAACCTATTTATCTGGTCAGTAAGACCCTTGACAGCCTTTTCAAGGCCCTTTTGCGAGTTCAATCTTTTGAGCACATCATTGCTAAGATCACCAAACTGCATGTCGCTGTAAGTCGCAATGATATCTACTATCTCCTGGGGAAATTTCAAGGGCAGTAACTGGACCGCAGCCAGCCAAGGTTTGACTTCCTTGAGTATCTTGAACTTAATGAGCGCTATTGCCATACAAAATATGGGCTTGCACTCATTGAGGGAAATCGAGCTCCCAGGGTAATGCCAATTAATCACATCCATAGTATCATCTAGAATGCTAATGTTTTCCGTGTTAAATGACTCAAGTAGAAGGCGAAGATCACCACCAGAATTGCTTGTGTTCCAATTTCGCGTCCTCATTTGCATAATGAACTGATAGCATGCGCTGTTCTCGGCTAACCGCACAGACAGTGCTACAGTAAGCTTGATCTAATCTTGCCATGTGTAATATTGTCCAGGCTCGCTATTAAGTGGGCCAAATACTTCCAATTCGGATCTCAGAAGCCGCACCCTTTGTTCAGCCGCCTCTCTGCAATGCACATATCGAAGAGCGTGTATCAATCCATAACGAGCATAACGGAGCGAGTCATAAAAATCGCACCTGATCCAAGTATTACCAGTTAATTTTGTTTTGGTTGGATCCAGAAGATGCTGCAATATACGGTCATTTCTAGATTGGTCCAAGACTGTTTCATATTTGTCCCGTGCCATCTTGACAGTATTACATCCTGAGACGTGCTCGGATGCGTCAAGCTCTTTGCATCGAGCACTGCAGTAGGAAACAGACTTACATCTGTTGCACCGTTCAGTAGTGAAAGTGAAGCAACATCGGGGACATCCAGGGGAATAGGAAAAGTGATGGATTAATCCCTGACCGTACAAGGGATACTGCACCTGCATGGTGTGTGAATTGTGTTTGACTTGGTGATAGGACGGGCTCTTGAACTGTGTTTTGGTCTAGTGTTCTCGTCAGTAGCGATGGAAACGAAATCTTTGATACCATCATATGCTGAAGCAGTAGCCGGGTATTTATAGTTTTACAATAGCCTGAACAAGACGTTCATATGTAAACAATTCTACAAAAGAATGGTAGAATCCTTATCTTTTGACTATATCTTTCTTCATAGGACGGAGCCCTCAGGGACGAGCTCTGCCTGTCTTTGTCGGCTCCGCATGGGCCCGAACCCTGTTTAATCCTTCAGGACAAAGGAATCAAGGTTATAATGGCGTTGCTTCGGGGCTACGCCCCGCGAATTGTTCCCTATTTAGCTGTTCTTTGTACTCACACGAAGTTGTTGCCATAGAGTCGGCGGCTGCTCGTCATCATCTATTTAATAGGTTTCTTTGCAAATGGCCTTTTCCACTTATATTCAATGCAGACAACAATGTTATGTTTTCATTGACCGGAAAATTCAAGTTCTGCCTATGCTGACTTGGCATAGGACGTGCATCCCGTAAGAGCCCTTCACAAACGCAAAATATCTTTTCGGGCACTACAGAAGCTCATTAACGGCAAACACGGTCATTCCCATAGCCAACAGAACCCTAGACCACAAACTGACTTCTCCCTGCTCACTGGGGCTATGACATCAAATGCCTTATAGCTAGTCTCGTCCGGAATCGGGGTGACCCACTCATTGTCGATCCACATTCCACCGGGCAAATTTCCAGAACATGGTCTCATGAACAAAAGCGTCTGGTTACTTAAAGGGTTCAGTATTCTCGGAGGCGCATATTGTTCGTCTTAAGCACCCCTTACTGAGATGTACACAACCAGGAAATCATCTTATCTACGACTTACTGTCCTCGATTTCTTCACCTACCACGTTTCGCTTCCTACCCACCTACCCAGCTACATAAGTATCGCACAATCATATAAAAATGGCGTTGGCATCCGAGCCCGCTGGAACTATCATGGTTGGCGAGAGAGGCGAGCTGGGTGGAATTGCGCGTCGACAACGAGAGGCGGAAGAACAAGCACAAGTACAAGGGTATACTCAACAGCAAGAGTCTGTGTGTCCACTAGCAACGCAAAGGCAAGGGAACAGGACTGATTGGAAAGAACAAAGGCTCCGTTTGGCCTCCAAAACATAGTTTAGCAACGATGTGAAGGATTCAGAATCATACAGAGCTGAAGATATTCCGGAGGTAAAAAAAGAAGGAAGGGGTATCCGAGGTCGGTTCAGGGAATGGAGCAACAGCTTCAAATGCAGGGATTAAATGAAGTGTATGAATTAGGGCTGAAGTTTGTTTATTGTTGTCGGTTTTGACTTGTTCGCTTGGGAAAAGTGTTATTGTGTTTCAGAGACGTCTTTTCGAGGTTGGATAGAGGATATATAGTCTATTCTATAATAGACTTGGGAGTAAATAACAGGATCCCGGAGACAAAATATTAAGTCGCATGTCTACGTACTGAAACTTAACGGCTCCTTTTGTTATGGGTGGGGTTCAAGGTTAAGCTTAGGATGCAAACTGCTCGAATACTGTTAGAGAAATACAGATGCAATGACTGGATCGATAAATAAAGTTTTTGGTAGTGCCAATTGTATTGAATCCGCTCCAAGGGTACATTTGCAACCTTAGCACGGTATGATGACGCCCGCCCATTCCATGCGTCCATTGGCGGGGTCAAAAGCTTTCCCATACAAAGGGGTGCTGGCTACTTGATTTCCCAACGTACGAGCACGAAATCTTCATGCAAAATGTCAGCTTCAATGGGCCTTCAGGCATCTCTTGAAGATCTGTACTCCAGTGGAAAGTACTCGGATGTTACTATAACATGTCGAAGGACCATTTTCAAAGCCCATCGTGCTATCATATGTCCGCAATCCTCTTTCTTCAGAGCGGCGCTAAACTCAGGGTTCAAGGTCAGTCGATGTCTGAAGCTACATAGAATGGTGTTTAACATGTCCAAGGAATCCCACGACAACACCGTCGACTTACCTGACGATGAACCGAAAACAATCAAACGGGTGATCGCCTTTCTATATACTCAAAGTTACGATAGCGAGGAGTTTGAGCAGTCGACGAGTCGCAAGCGCAGTGCAGATTCAGGTCAGACTGTCAATCAAAAGAGAGAGCGGGAGAGTGCCTCCAGCATATGCGCCAAATCAAACAAAGCCCTAAGTCACTTGAAGGTTTACCAAGCCGCAGACAAGCTTGGTATCGATCATTTGAAGCCTCATGTGGTTAAAACCCTGAATAGTTGGAGCCTCCTTAATTGGAGTTCCAAAGCATACTTCGAAATGGCCGCCATAGCGATGGAAATCTCGCCTTTTCATGATCATAGGCTCAAAAACATGATCTCCGATACTATTCGAAACCATTTGCGATACTTTCTGCAGTTCGAGGAGTTTGACAACTTCATCACGGACAATGGCGTGATTGGATTGATCGTCATGAAACAATTAGTCGAAGAAGATATGCTCATGAAGTCGAAAAAAGACCGGATAAGTTGTCTAGAAGATGCAGTTGAGCGGATGAATTATGCAAGACACATTTGCGGTCGATGCAGCAGTAGGAAAGGTGTACAGGTAAGAACGGTTTCTGGCCATAAGGAAGAGGTCATCTGCTCACATTGTTTGCAACCTGTGATTTGTCCTGAAACTGCGGACTACTTGCGTTAAACCTGCTTTGCGATATCTTCTGCTTTCAATTCAATAAGGGTAGCCACAAAGAGGGGTGGGGAGGAACACACAATTCCTAGTAATGCCAGAAGGGCTTTCGAGCTACTATTACCCTCAAAGCTCTAGAGCTGTTATTCGTCCCTTAGTTAGTCTAATAACAGAATCGTTTTTGTCAGCTCTAAATACATCCAGCCACAGCTGCGGGGCAGAAACAATATTCTTTTGGCTCACGTCTAAAAGGGATGCTTCAACTGTTATTCTTCAGATATTCTAGCCTGTGAAGCACTCAAACCTTGACCATTTATAACCTGGATGTCAGACTCTTTCAATTTACACACTGATTATGTCCTTCAAGTTCCCTCGTCCTCCTCTAAAGTCTTTGCTTTCATCCCCCGGGTTTGATACATCGCAATCTCATGATCCAATCCTTCACACCGGTACCCCTTGAACCTCCAAGCAGGTAACTTAGCTCTAAACAGCTAGTCAATCTCTTCAAGGTTCCTCCCCTTCAGCTCCGGCATGAAGAACCAAACACAAATAGCTCCGGCACCGGCAAACCCACCCCAGACATAGCCTAGTTTGGCGCCTAGACTGGCACCGGGCGTATATAGGAGGTAGGGAGTTGTGTAGACTACGACAAAGCCGACGACGACGTTGAATGCTGTCTGTGGATGTAGTTAGTAGCCGTGTGGCAAGAACAGGGGTTAAAAATGATTAGTACCGATATAGCCATGGTTTTCTCGCGTAATGTCGCCGTCCCAATCTCAGCAGCTGTGATATACGCGGCTAGGCCCAACGTCGCATGGAGCACAGCTGTATAGAGAATACACGACGCTACCATTCCATTCGTATCTCCACTTGAGCGGTTGGTTTTGGATCCTAGTCCACCGATGAGACAGAGGAAAACAGCCTGGATTTAGCATCCATGGAATGTGAGTTCACGTCGGCCGAAAATGTCGAAGAGCGTCATTCCGATGAGAGCGGTTACGACGGAGACGCCGTTGTTGACTGCCTATTGCATTGTTAATAAACTATATGTAATGATGATATATGGAGGTTGACCTACCGCATATTTAAATGCCGTGTCACTCAATCCGACCTTTTTGTAGAAGGTTGGCCCGTACGAGCTACTGAACGTTACGCCGGTGAGCTGTTGAAGGGCCATGAGGAACAGTGCAATGGAAGTGCGCCGTCTGTTCGAGACACTGAAGAGTTTAATCCATGGAGCTTTGTCGTTCTTATTGTCAGAATTCTCAAGTGCCACTATTTCGAGCTCACAAAGGCCATCTTCGACTGCCTTTTTGTACTCTCTCACGAGTAGCCAAACTCTAGGCTGAAATCCGCAGTGAATGGTCCCGATTCGGCTACTGCCGCGATGAATTCCCCGACAACAACCACTTCCCACGTCAGCTATATGTGCGAGATGCATGCAGAATGGTCTCCGACTACGTTATCACTCAACACACGGCATCCGAGCACGACGGAGAAGAAGAAGACCCGTATCCGGTAGCCATCGCCTACTGGCCTACCGACACGCATTGTGCCCGAAGAGTCGTTCGAGATGGTCTAGCTCACAATGAGGGGTTTATCTTCAAAGATAAGCACCAATAAAGGCCTTTCGGGATCTCGTACCGCGCTTTGGTGCCTCGAAGGTCTGAAGCTACTAATATTCTAACGCCGACTTGTCCGAGCTCATCGCATGTGGGATACGATATATTCTGTTCCCTGCAAAAGTTTTCTAATATGATGCTGATACGCAAATATAGGAGCCGTGCGGATTGAGCACCAGTTTTACGAGCTCGGTCAGGCGTGCGCGAACGCTGCCGACATTGCACTGTTAGATACACCTGCCTCAATGCCGGTTCAGGATGTTCCATACGGAGTGCTTAGAGACAGGCTGCGGAGTCAGAATGCGGTGTTGGATGTGGCTTTGGTAGGGAAACCAGATTTCACCCAGCTACATCCCAGCTCAAAGACATAGACACAATCCCAATGAAGAATTGTGGGTGATATCTACAATATCTGCCGCACATTAGACCAAATCCATGCTATGGACAATGATAACTCGAAGTACTTACGTCTACTCGAGGTTTTCGAAGAGACTCTTCAATCTTGAAGGACAGAGAACTATAGATACAATCGGCAAAGAGTACTAGTGATCTGTACTACATTCTTAAGTGTTTTACCTACGGAACAGTTCAAAAGCTCACGTATATCATAAAAAGAAAATATCATTCAATTTGTAAATGCCAGATAGGTAAAGACCTTCCAGCTTATGGAAATCACGCATAGAAACCCATAACAACTAGAGCAAGTGATGCTCCGTAAATCCCATGAAATTGGCATTGATCATCAGCGCCGTGTCAACAGCACGATCTGGGTCTGAAAGATCAGGCCGAATAAATCCCCGCTCTTTTTCATTCAGCGCAAATTTACGATGTTGCTCGCAGCAACTACATTCCGTGGTACAATGTCCATATTGATGGGCCCGAATAGTGCTTCGCGCTCTCTCGCAACATCCACAGTCTCGCCCACAACAGCCTCCACGTCCGGCGCAGTCCGCACGAAGTCGAGAATGCAGATGCCACTTCGGTTTCTGTCGGTAGGACTTAAAGGCACGCAAAAAGCCGTTATTGTCCGCGCGGGAAATCTCGAGGAAATGTTTCCTCTCCTGTCTCCAGTACTCTCTATTCAAGACAGATAGTTCTTTCTTCCAATCTTTCAGTTGCTGGGTTTGGTTTGATGATGCGACGCCGCCTTGGGCATTTATCTCGTGATACAGTCGCTGGCACTTTTCAGACACGCTCGTTTCTTGTTGAACGATCTCGCGGATTGAATACTCGATTTGCATTACGTTCATAGCCCACTCTGTGCTGCTGATGGTGGCGTCGTCACTCTCCTTGAGCCAGTCGACCAGTCGAATATACTGGGCGACCTGCCGCAGCCCTGTATGCTCAACAGCATTCTCTATGCGAGTCCGAAGCCCCATTTTGCAGTCTCAACGGTGGAAAGAATGAATGTCAACTTGTTCGCGTCGGCACTGGGCTGACTTCAACAGGTGTGGATAACATGAAGGAGCAGGCAGATCTTTGGCATATATATACCCATTTCTGGAATCCATAATATCTGAACGTGCTGGGATTTTCCATTGAGTAGCATTATCTCAAGAAATTTCATTGTTGTGACTACAGATCAATGAGAAGTTGCGCGTTCGCGTGCTGGGATTAGATATTGAAGGCTACACAGGCGCGCACATCGGTCCAGAGCGTGAGCGTTAGCGCGCGTGTGTTGCTGGCGATTACGCTCACATTAAGTTCCACTTCAATGGCCAAGTAGATGCAATCTTGGTTTACTCGAAAGATGCCTGCATCTCGTGGGGCCATCTCACGGAGTCTTCCGCAACCGGGAGATGGAAACGACAAAGCGCCAAATTGGTCTTCTATGTTCGGGTCCGCATTCCGAAACGATAATTCAGTGTCAGCGGACCGTGACATGGTCAGTTGCACATCATCATGACGACTCAACAATTACAAATGACCGTCGATGACACCTCACTCTTCCACAATCAACAAACAACATCTTTGGTTGAGCTCGCCGGGAAAGGGAATCCACAATGTCTATCTATCGCAGAGTCGGACGTCTTATGGGATCTCTTGGTCTCGGGGATTCAGCCCAGAAGCACTCGGGAGAGGCCCAGAAGCGTTGGGAAGAGACCCAGAGGAAGCGTCTAGAGTCATCGGATTGGGGATATCTCACTGCAACCGGGTCATGGATGAGCCGCATATATGGAGCAGAGCGCAGCCTTGTCGAAGTAGCTCAAAAGGAGGCACTGGTTGACGAAGAAACAAATACTCTTCTGAAGAACTCCGCCGTCGAGCCCTGGAACTACAATGAGGAGAGTGTTTTAAACGAACGTGATCGCAAACTTGGCCTCCTCAACAAGGAATATTGGCACGCAAAGTGGAACCTCCAGAACAGCCAAGCTACATGCCCATATGAGCCTTTGGATAGCGCCTATACCTGCTTTCGAGAGAAACCCCAGTGGTGGCTTTTACCTTCTCTTCGCGCCGACTGTGCTAAGAGGGGTGGATGTTGCTCTAGAGACTGCGGTTGCTGCGAGCGTGCTAGACATGCCAAAAGACCTGATATCGTTGGGCACTGCTCGCCATCCTGTGGTTGCTGTCTGCGAGCTCGTGGGTTCGAGCTGAGCCCTGATGATGCAGCCATCTTTGAACCCAGGTATAATCTTTCTTACAATCGCTCGGTCTTCCGGTCCAAGTTGATGATTCGTTATTTCTTTGGTATCGATGGATGAAATACCAAAAAAATGGTATTGCTAATGGCTCCTGGTGTGATTTAAAAACGGTATTCTGATTTAACCATTTGCTTTGAATAAAACCTAAACTGTTTCCTCTTGGGGCTTTTCATGTCTATACTCTATGATGCCCCTGGATTTGCTTGTAACAGATACTAGTAGCCAGTTCATGATTTCTCATGGGCCCAAAGCGTAGACTCCAGAGCATCTACTGTTATCACATCATCTCTGCATGCAAGGCAAATCTATTCTGTCTAGTCTACAAGGCACCCTTTCAACTTGCCCACTAGCCTACCGCGGTTGTGATGCGTATATGAGGATGTGCAACGCATCTTTATTAGTCAATACTAAGTATAAGGAGAAAGGGTTCCGTTGCGCCAACTGGAAATAGAAGAGGAATATTCACCAGTAATAAGACGCACTAGTCAAGGAAGTTAATGCCCTCTCGCAATCTAACTCCGGCAAGTAAAGCTTTCCACCAAGCCCAGCCACGAAGTGATACCACCAGAAATCCTCTCGAGCAAATCTCATTGCCGTTGTGAATTCCCAATATTCAGGATACCAGCCTGCTGATTCCCAATCTAGGAGACCCGTGATACGCCCCTCATGAACCATGATGTTATGGTGCTGTAGATCACCGTGTGTGAAAACAATGCGGTGGGGCATTCTCGCCATTCCTTTAGCACGATTCAAAGCATCGTTATAAGCCGTTTCCGATGGAAACCCTCCCGACCAGGCGGGCTCTATTAGATAATCATTGAGCTCTTCTTCTGACTCGAATGGACCTGCACGGTGGTTGGGCACTCGGACACTTCTAAGAGGCGTGCCCACGACAGAGCAGATCCTGTTTTCTCCCCATGGACTTTTCCAACTCCTGATTAATTTCAGATAGTGATCAAGTTGTCGAAGCACCGCGTGTTTCTCATCATCAAGTGTCTCGTAGATTTGCCCCAATTCCTTGCCAGGAACACGCGTCATCAGGATGGAAACTGGCGCGTGAGGGGTGTCGGGGTGTTCGCCATAACAGATGACCTTTGGCACCGGAAGACCTGCGTTTCTAGCAGCTTGCATAGCCAAAACTTCCTCTAGCCGAGTGCCATCAGACCATTTTAGAATGAGCCCGAACGGAAGCTGAGCAATTTGATTATCGTAATCGATCCCGACCCAGTCACAATATAAACGGGAAAATCGTCTGATGTACTTATGGGCGATGCCCCAGAAGTGGCAGACTAGCGGATGAGATGCCCTAGGAATGGGAGGCAATTGGTGGCTTAGAACCGTCGTACTGCGATCCGGCCATGTAAAACTTGGAAGTAAGAAGCGAGGAACCAGCCATTGCAGCATTATAATTACATTTCGCGGCAACGATATAAGAAGGCCAGAGTTGCTTCCTAGTAGGTAGAGTGATGTATTATCGAGAGGCGGTGTGACAAGAAGGCCGGATCACAAAAACATATAAGTAACGTGGTTTTAGGCAGGGTTCGAACTGGCTAATGTACGAGCCAAGACCGATTGTCACGTAAATATGAGTCCTACTGGAGCGCTCAATCGATAGTAAGTATGGAATGCTGGATTCATTCAAGAAAGACGGAGGCAGAGGGCAACAGATCAACGGTTACTCGGGCGGGTCATGGGATGCACTAAGCCGCATGTGGACTAGGCCAGTTCTCAGCTCCATCAGTACCGTGGATTTATAAGATGCTACATCGTTTCCATCACATATATTATCAGACGAAGATGCCCGAATCAGCTCCTCAACTGCACATCCCTGCATCCAAACACACGGTCGATGTAAGCATCATCGACAGTACTGCCCGCATCAAGATTCCATTGCAGGCGTTCATCAAAGACCCCCTCCCGGGCCACGAGCATCTGCAGTGTCCGGCTTACTCATTCCTGGTAGAGCACCCATCCGGCAAGAAAGTTCTTTTTGACCTCGGCGTTCGCAAAGATTTCGATAGGGCTGCGCCCGCGTTGCTGAATGCATGGAAGGGGAGACTCACGCTCAACGTGGAGGATGATATCGCGGGTATCTTGAAGAAAGACGGTCGGGTTGGTCTGGAGGAGATCAATTCTATCATATGGAGGTAGGGCTGAACAGAACCGACTCATGAGTTGTCGGTATACTGAAACTAGGCTAGTCACTGGCACTTTGATCACAGTGGTGATCCGTCTACCTTTCCATCCACGACGGAGCTGGTCGTCGGTCCAGGATTCAAGGATGCTCTGCTACCTGGGTATCCTACCAATCCTGAATCTCGGATCTTAGAGGCAGACTACCAGTAAATTGCTATCCACCACCCTTTCCTCACAACGTGGTACTAACATGCATCCACCGAAGGGGCCGCGAACTGCGCGAAGTGAGCTTTGACGAAGGCCTTCAACTCGGCCGTTTCCGCGCCCTAGACTACTTTGGCGACGGCAGCTTCTACCTCCTCGACAGGTTTTTATCCAACACTCAATCCATACTAACAAAGGCTCAGCACACATTCGGCCACATCTGCGCCCTGGCTCGAACCACTCCATCCACATTCATCTTCATGGGCGGCGACACCTGCCACCATTGCGGTTCCCTCCGTCCTACAGAACACATCCCTTTGCCTGACCAAATCTCTCCGTCGCCATTCTCCGACCCCCCTCATCTAACCGGCACCGTCTGTCCCGGCGACTTCGTTGAATCCATCCACCCCGCTCATTCCCGTACCGCTCCTTTCTACGCCAACCTGTCGCCTGCGCCAGATCGAGACGTAGCAGAGGCTGAAGCATCGCTAGACAAAATGCGGGATTTCGACGCTAATGAGGACATCTTCGTAGTGATTGCGCATGACTCGACGCTTTTGTCTGTGGTGGATTTCTTTCCGAAGAGGGCGAATGAGTGGAAAGAGAGGGGGTGGAAGGAGATGAGCCGGTGGAGGTTCTTGGAGGATTTTGGTCAGGCGGTGGGGAGTAAGGTGGTTGAATAGGGGGTTTTGATATCATTTGGCTAAGGTGGGTGTGGAGATTGCGTTGCGGTATGGTTATGACACTCTCCGTATGTTCGATTTGCAGTATGTGTTATGATAATGAAGACCAACGAACTATATGACTCAGATGAGCAACAATTTGATAGGAATGCTTTCTTCTTCAAAGGAATAGTTTAGCACCTCCTTGCACATGCTGCCAGTATTCTAGAAATTCAGGATCTCCTATGTATGATCCTTTGCAATAATATCTTGTAAATGAAAGTCGAAAGTAGAAAGTTTATCTCAAGATGCAGAGATTGCGAGATAGCAACGTTGCCTATAACAACCATCATCTAGATCCACTCCTCCAATAACTATATTAGCCTAATATACTCACTCAAACTTTCAGTACCAAGGGAAGTGAATGCATTGATATCAACTCCAGATGAGATTCAAGACAGCCACACATGATCCCAGAGACAGTTATGTTGCGAACAACTGACCTCTTTATTTATTCCATTACTTCACCTGAGCATCATATAAGCAAATCAAACCAAATAATGCCTTCATGCCTCTATACTTCACGCAAGCTAACGTAATCAGTAAGCGAACCGGCCATGTAAGCGAGCCGGCCGGCTTGGCAGCCCGCATACATGCTTATATTGGAATTTTGATTTACATACAAAAAACTAAAGCTTTTCAGGCCTAGATTGATTCGTTTTGAAGCCCGAAATCAGGTGTTTCGATTAGGGCACCTTGTTCGTATGTGTCCTACAACGTGACAATTACTGCAGCGAGACGGCGCGCGCCGACATGACTGATCATCCTTAAACCCTGTATCATCGGTTGCTTCCTCTAAAGATTGAACGTGTACGAAGGCCTCGCGTGCTTTCTGAATGGTGAAGCCATTCAGGCCGTTCATCTGATGTTGATTTCGCTGTTCTTTCTTCTTTCGTCGTTCAACAGCCTCACGAAGTTGGGAATTCTCTTGTTTCAAAAGAACGTTTCGGTTCAAGGTTATCTCAGTGCCTTTAAAGATATATGATAAGACAGTTTGCATAGACGAAGTCGGAGGATCTGTTTCTTGAAGTAATTGAAAGATTTTTGACTCGTGTCTCTTGAATTGTTTTAAATTCTTTAATGTTTTGGTGACAGTTGAAATTGTTCTTTGACTGCTTGGCCGGCTTTTCTCCCTATAGAAGATAAGATTATCCAAAACCTTGCTTGGATTAAAAGGAACAATTCCGGCAGCTTTGAAAGCATTTTGGATGTTCATCTTGTTAAAGGTTTGGACGTAGGCTTCTGGATAAATATCAAGAAAGTCAACCTTCTCAACATGATGATATCCAGTTCGTATAAAACGTTCAAGAAGACCGCTATACGCCTGCTTTAATGGCGAGAAGCAGGCTACATCTAATGGCTGGCAAAGATGAGAGGAATTGACAAACATACACACTGGTATAATGTTGTTCTCTCGACATATATCATCAAACTAAGGCGTTAAATGGGAGTCATGCCCGTCAAGGATTAAGAGGCTATATTGGCCAGTTTTTCGGTCCTTAATATAAGGGATAAAGTGTTCTTTAAGCCAATGTTCTCCGATTTCCCGATTAGTCCAGCCGTTTGGCGATATCGCGATACGCCACAAAAAAGACAGGCTGCCTTCATACCATGCCTGAATATGCGTTTTCGCTTTCAACACCAAATACGCGGGCAACGCCCAGCCGATAGCGTTAATACACTCGATTGAAGTTACCCATTCGCGATTGCCTGACTATATAAAAAACGGTCTTCCCTTGCAAGAAGAACGCGTAACAACTTTAGCCGTAGTCATCAAGCCCATAGCGAAGCCAGTTTCATCAAAGTTGTAAATATCTTCATCTACAATTCCATACGTGGCGACAGCGATTTGAACGCGTTGAAACCAGGCCTGTATAACCTCAGGATCCTCACACTTTGCCCGTTTATAGCTGATTTGGCGAGTAAACCGATTCTTCAAGGAAACATGCCGAGAAATGAAATTATATACCCATTTTTCACCTACGAAGCAGGTTCCACCTTGACCACGCTTCTGCAGCAAGATTGTAGCCATATGACGGACTTGAAAGTGTCTTGATGCCGTGCCACGTTGATCAAGCGAATGAATCCATTCAACAAGTGAATTCTCTTCCAAAGGAGTCAATTTATGAGAATTGACGCGTATTTTCTTGCGAAATGTGATTCCCTTAAGGCGTTCTTGCAGTGTTAACCGAGAGACTTGAAAAACACGCGCGGCTTCACGAATTGACGAAATTTGATGTTTCTGAATAGCCTCAACTGCCAAGCAGAGCCTGCCTTCTTGTTCCACCAAGGCTTTTGGCGATTTAGGCATTTTTGGTGGAGAAATTGATGTTTGAATAGCCTTATCTCTAATAAAAGGGGCGATTCTTGTTGGGGTGGCCGGCTCGCCTACGTGGCCGGTTCGCTTACTGATTACGTTATATCCGCTGACTCATCCAGTCCACCCAAAGGCGGTCCTCACCGGCAGAACGCAACCTCATCTCCACATCTCTCCGACTGTCTATCAATCCACCCATCAAGTCAATTAATGCGAAGGAATCATCAACTTATCTGACTCCTCGACCGAGCGCGCCGTCTTCAGCAGTATTCAGCACACGCCCACAGATCATAAATACAAAGAGCTAGAGAGAGTTCGTAACAATGGCGCCCACGAAACAAGAGCTCTCGCTGCTCATCAACCCGCTCGTCCCGGAATCGGTGCAGCATAATAATCGCGTACGTTTTGTTTGCCTTGCACTTACTCTTCCCTATCTCAATCTGAACCCCAATCCCATTGAACTCTACCTTCCCATCTCCCCAAATCAACATACACATACTAACCACCAAAAAACTTATAGGTCCTGTCAAACCTCCACTCCCTCACCTCCTTCCTCCTCGGCCTCACAGCAGGCATCCTCGCCCTGCAATCAGCAACCGGCTTCATCTTCTACCTCCTCGGTACGATCTTCGTCTCGGGCGTTTTCCACGCCGTGCTACTTTCGCGATCTGGGACCGGGGCTGGCGCCGGGGCTTTCTTCCCGGGTTCGACGCCGGGCGAGATTGAGGGGATTAATGCGAAGGGTCTTATCGGGAGTGGGAATGGGAAGGATGGGGTGGTCGTGAAGAGGAAGGGCGCTTGGAGGGATGTTTGGTTGGGTGGGGGTGTTTTTGGAGAGGCGCTTTCGGGGTTTGTCCTTGGGTGGGCGGGTGTTGGGGGGGTTTTGAGGTGATTGGGTTTAATGCGGATTTGGTTGGGTGGTGATGATGAAGTTGTGAGGGAGGTGGAGATTGTGGTTAAAGAATTTTCAAAGGAGAGAGAGCAGAGAGGGGTGGGTTTTTATTTTATGTCTGGATTTGCCGGGCGAGGGAGTGACTGCAACGAGGGATGGATGGTCTGTTATCCGTCTATATCTCGTCCTCTTTAATACGCTCTATGTCTATCTCATGCAAATCCATCCTGGACATACCCTATCTATCTCCTGCCTGCTTCTCCGTCTCGGAAACCGGCCTACGAACATGCTTGTATGAATTGACGTTGCCCTAGAATCAGCATCAGCATTCTCACCACCCCAATCAACCACTCAACCAGAGTCAGCAAAACAGCAAGAAACTCACCTTCACCAAAGCCCACAAAAACGACACATAAACCACCTCACTATGTCCCGTCTCCTGCTCCTCCTGAGCCACCTCCACACCCACCTGCTCCTCCTCAACCCTCCTATCCATGGACATATCATCCTCACCCTTATCAACCGGTTTAATCCAAACATTCCCCATCACCAACCCAGCTACCAAACTAATCCCCATAATCGGCATAATTGCAATATAAGCCCACATGATAGCATCCCTGCCCATACCTCTCACGACCCTCTGCTCGTCAGTTGCCAACGCATCAATAAACGACAACGAAGACGACGTATCTTGCATATTCAAGTTCCCGGTCCCATTCCCACTCCCAGCGCTACCAACCGCCGCATCGAATTTATTATTAAACACACTCCCCATAATAGTCAAACTGATCGTCCCGCCGAATGGCATCGCAAACCGCATCAGCGACAGGACAGGGGCGATGCGTTCCGGCCAGATGCCCACGGCGTGGAGGTTGGCGGGCATGAAGCGGAGACCGGTCCCTGCGCCGGTGAGCACCATCATGCCGTTCAGGAGGGGCGCGTTTTGGGTGTGAATGGCGTAGATGACGAGGGCGAGGCCGACGGTTGTGAGAAGGGCGCCGGCGTTGAGGGGGTGGTAGGTTTGGGCGGGGATGTAGTTGCAGAGGAGCATGGCTAGGTAGACGCCGGCTATTTAGGTGGTAAGTTAGGGTCAGATAGTTTATTCATGGTATGTATGTGGGACAGGGAAGAGGTAGGGAGTGCTGCTCACCTCCTAGACCGGGGATGTAGTAGAGGAGCTCTACGCCGGCTTTTGAGGCAGGGTAGGCTTCCACGAGGGTGAAGTAGATGCCGATGAAGTAGAAAACGGAGTACATTGCTGGGATGCATTAGCTTGTTCTCTGTCTGTGCGTACCTCGAAATCAAACAAGCAATAAAACATGAGAGTGGGAGAGAAACATACATGCACCAATCGACACCTGCATCACAGTAAGCCATATCGTATCCATCCTCGCGAACATGCTATACGGCAGCATAGGAACCTGCTTCGGAAACAGCCTCGCGATCACCCTGCCTGACTCCAGCAGATATTCGTATACGAAGAACAGCACAAAACAGACTCCTCCAACAATAAGAGGTCCGAGAACCTGAGGAGCTGACCAGGCGTATGTGGCTCCGCCCCATGCCGTCGCCAGGATGATCAGGCCAATGCCGAACATGAAAAGAATGCATCCGAAAATATCCACAGTCGCGAGGCCCGGCAATATAGCTGACATGCCGGATCCTCTGCGGGAGATGGTTCCCTCGACAAGCTCCTTTCGAAGTAGAATGTATATCAAGATGTGAGAGATGAAAGCGATCTATTGCTCCTTCGTCAGTAATTAATTCTTCGATCCTCGAGTGAGGGGATATATACAGGGATCGGTATCACAAAGCAATATCTCCAATTATCCTGTCCTGGTCAGCCATACTCCTAACACTCAGCCATTCAACCCAGCATCTTACATCTGTCAAATACCTATACACCAGTCAGCATCGCCGTCACCATCAAGTCCCTCAACCGCAGGATATGAAACCCCAACAACACAACTCACCCCCCAATAACCGGCCCAACCGCATACCCCACCCCTCCGACCATCGTAAACAACGAATTATTCTTCGCCGTGACCCTCAACGACACTCGATCCGCCAAAATAATCATGATTATATTCATGAGGCCTGCTGAGCTGGCGCCCTGCAACGCGCGTCCCAGCAGCAACATACCCCATGTCTGAGCGGCAGCACACAGCACGCTCCCAATCAGCATCAGGAACAGGGCTAGCTGCAGCACGGCATGACGGCCGAAGACGTCGGCTAGTTGGCCGAATACAGGGATGAAGGTTGTTGAGGTTAGGGTGAAGGATGTGATGATCCAGTTGAGTTCGTCGAATTTGTCTATGTTGGTGCCATTGCCTGGATTAGAACTTGTTCCGATAAAGAAGGGAAAAGGGAAAGATTTACCAAAATGCGAAGCAATAGAAGGCACAGCAGTAGCCACAATAGTCAAGTCCAATGTCGCCAACGTATACGGCAAACAGAGTCCACCGATTAATTTCCAGCTATAGATCCGTTCGCGACGTCTCTGCTCTTCGCATTGTCGACACTTCCCATCGCCGCGCGCAGACCTATGGGAAGCATATCGGCCCTGAACTGACCCAGTCCTCAGCTCTCTCAACGGTACTTCGTCGCCGGTATCCCCAGTAGGGATATGTTCGATTTGCGATTGCCGCGCGACGTGAGAGCAAGGAGGATTCTGGGGCTTCGTTGGCGACGAGGATTCGCCGGACTTGCTAGTCTTTTGACGAATGTACTTGTATGCCACGAACATGATTAGACGGAAGATACAAGAGAATGAGGAATGGAACGATTCCGAAGACCATGATTCCAATCCTAAGTAATCGCCTTCACCTATATACCCAGAGAGCTGCTAGGCAACTGTTTATCCTGGTGAAATCTTACTGTATATGGGGTATACATTGCGAGCGATGCTGTCAGTTCCATGTAGAATCTAGAACCATTATCAACAAAGGCTTAGCATCGGGCGTTTAGTCCTGAAGGAATGAATCTGAGGCCATTGATTGGGCGAAACTGCTGCCAACGATCACTTACCCGATTCGGTAACCTGTGCGACAACTTGGTTGCCTAATCGGGCCTTAGCTGCTGGCCGTATAATTTAGGCGCCGAGCGGGCTCAGCCCTAAAAAGCTTTGTCCATCGTGAAGCAATAAGGTCTCTGACTGCTACATTAGATGTCAGACATTGTGCGCTATCTTCAAATATTGCATGCGAAGATCCTGTCTCATGAGGAATATCATTTTATGCAGAATGTCTATCTATATACAATGAGCTATATGTGGGTATGACTCAAACATATCACGTCGAGGTATAATGACAATAAAAAATAAACGACACATATACAATAAATCGCTCAAATACAAATTAAATGGAGGATAACATGGAAGAAGGTATCATCAAAGGACTTTAACCATCCAACCAGGGAGGGTATGATATAAAAGACGCCTTAGGCATCTTGAGCCGGCTTGACGGGCTCTTCCTCGCCGTAATTGGCCAAGGCACTCTGCAGAGCACTCGTCAAGTCGATATGGAAGAATGGCCGGTTGATGCCCTGCACCAAAGCCACCTTGCGTCGGTTCCGGTACGCTTTGCTGTCCTTGAGATCGCGCTGCAGTTTGTCTTCTTGGCCGCTGCTGCCGTCGGAAGATACCTCGATTCCGTAAGTCTCGCGCTCAGTGGTGTGATGATCGTGCTTGAGGCCATTCTCGAGATCTCCAGTCTTGTGACTGGCCTGATACGCGTGCTCGTTGGTCATCATTTCCGCATGGGCCGCAGCAGACGCGTTTCCTTCGATTTCGGTCACGCTGAAGATCGGCTTCCACCGGTGGAATCCATCCTCGGATGTCGGGGTCGGGAAACCGAAACCGGCAGCGGCGAGGGCTCGCTTGGTCCAGCGGTTGTTGATGTGCGCGAAGTGCCATTGCACGGACTGCGGGGAGGCATAGAGGTCAAGCTGGTTGCGAACGTCGATGAGATTCTGCACCGAGGTCACATCCACGTTGTTAACGGAAGAGAAATCGAGGATGACAGCGCGAAGCGTGGGCAAGTGTGAACGGTCGGGCTCCGATTTTCCTTTGCGCGGCCCAGGGTTGTTCCAGGGTCGATCGCCAGGCGAACCGTAGGCAAATGGATTCGTGCGGCGCGTTTGACGGAAGATGGTTTGAACGAGGTAGTCGGTATAATGATTGGCATTCGGGTAGTTGAACCCTTCCGAGAAGCGGTAGATGAAGATACCAGGGTAAGGTTGCTCCACCTCGATTTCGGGGTTCGATCCGTCGGTGTGGTTGATCGGGAGGAAAATGCTTCGCTGGGAAACATCGTCGTGGGCTGAGGCGTTGGGCGCATTGGGCGAACCGTACTTTCCATCGCCTTGTAACAGGTGGTCGCCGACCACCGAGTGGATAGTGACACGGCCAAGGAACTGGCCGCGGGCCTTGGCCACGCGGAAGAGAAGGACGGCGGCAGCGATGGAGACCGTGCAGTAAATGCCGATTTCAATGGTGCTAAAGATGGTAACGATGACTCCGATGAAGAAGATGATCGCATCCAGCGGCGAAACACGCCAGAATTGGTACACCGTGTTGGGGGGAGTGATAAGATCACCTACGGCATGGATAATGACACCGGAGAGAGAGGCCTTAGGGATGTAGAAGAACATGGCCGGGAGGGCATAGATAGCGAGCAAGACAACAACGGCGGTAATGATACCGGCAAGCGGCGTTCGGACTCCGGCCTTGGACTTGATAGCAGTCCGGGAGAAAGATCCGGTGGCAGGATACCCACCGAGGAAGGGACCAAGGAGGTTCGACACGCCAATAGCCACCAACTCCTGAGAGGGGTCGATAGTGTAGTTGTTGACACGACCAAAGGACTTCGAGATGGCGATGTGTTCGATGAGCAAAACGATAACCGACGCGGGGAGTTGGCTTGCGAAAGTCTTGATAATCTTAGCGTTGACAACTGGAACACTTGCATTTTGGAAACCTATTGCGAATGACAATGATTAGAAAGTCTGGTCTTGAGGGAAACAAGCCTTTTTGGATTCGGAACATACCACGAGGGACCGTGCCCAGGAGCTTGAACATCGGGTCATCCCGACGATGCAAATTCACAGCCGCACTGATCATAGTGTAAAAGAGAATCACGAACACCGTTCGCAAGGTCGACGCAAAGAACCAGATCTTAGCACGATGAGGAAATCGCTTAGCACCGTAGTTGCAGCCCGAGCGAATGAGGTAGAGCATGACCAAAGCACTGACACCCATGGCGGCGTCAATGCCGGCCGAGGGAAGGTGCTTCAAGGTGTTGATGATCACCATGTAAGTCGCGCCTCTTGTGGAGAAGTCGGCCGACTCGCCAAGCATGTCTTTCACCTGACCAGCACAAATGTTGATGGCGGATCCCGTCATGAAAGCCGAAATGGCGGGAAGCGGAATGAAGTCGACGATGAATCCGAGACGAGCCAAGCCCATGAAACAGACAATACCACCACAGATGATGGCCATGGCAGATGCGATTATGTGCGCGGGAATATCGGGTTCGATCTTCTGAGCTTCGATGACAACTTCTCCGACCAGCGTGGACATCACAGCGACCGGGCCGATAGTGATATCCTTAGACGTGGCAAAGAACCAATAGATCAAGACACCCATGAAAGACGAGTAGAGACCGAACTGGACAGGAAGTTCTGCAAGTTTGGCATACGCCATACCTTGCGGGACAACCACAGCACCGACCGTAATACCTGAGAACGTTCAGCATAAATTGTGATATTCGAGGGTGGCCATCACTTACCGGCAATCAAATCTCCGATAAACCATTGCAAATTATACCGCGTGATCCAGGAAAGGAAGGGGAACAGGCTGTATACATAACGACCGAATTGACCCCAAGTAGGCCACAACTCCTTCAGCCAGTCGAAACTCGTGGGTTCGGGCTCCAGATAGGAGTATGTGTCGACGGTTCCAACCGAGAAAGTCGATTCGCCTCTGGTGACGGGGTCCGAAGTAGCACCGAGGGGATCGCGATAAGCAACTTTGATGCCCAAGGCCTTGGCTACGCCGTGACCAACCTTGGTCTTAATGTCTTCCGGCATGACTGATGTGAGAATGGAAGAGTTTTGAACAAGACCCGGTTCAAGAATGGGACAAAGCCCGAGAGATCAGTAATAGATCACCAAGATCTATTGGAAGAGGTAAGGAGGATCTTTCAGGTAGTCGAATAGAAAAAACCGATCGAAAGAGATAGTGAGAAATCCAGTAATATCAGATGGAATACTCAAACAATTTGCATTGCGAGCCAGCGTCAAAATGGTACCAAGAAGGAAAAATGCAAGGGTGGATGCTTAAAAGGAAGGATCCCGAGACTAATGCGATGTCGTGATCAGGGACTGATAATGCGAATGCACAAGCTTTTTCTGCAGCGGCACTACCACGAACCAGTAGATTGGGAAAAGAAATTGAATATCAAAAAGATATAGAAAATGGAAGGAGTTATTGAGAGGAATGAAAAAGGTCGGAAAGCACAAGAAGTGACTTTCAAGGTAGATTTCCAAGCACGGACGGCGGAAATTCGACCTGCGACAAGTTTCGGGGAAGAAACGGGCAAAAGGTCAATCAAAGGTTCGGGCGGGAAGGTAGAATTAAAAACAAGCTCCCGGTCAGATCGTCTAGACGGTTTGCGTCTCGAATGGTCTGAAAGAGTAAGGCCACACGGGTCGCCCGTGGAGAAATGCAGACGAGGAGGAGAATGATATGGAAAAGGAAGCGTTGATCAAACGAAACGGGGCACCGAAGAGGCAAGAACAATGAGTCTAAAACCACCAGCCCACTGGATTCGGCAATTCCGTTCAGGGGCCTCGTTGTACAGAGTAGGTAGATCCAACAGAGATTCCTCTCAGAAAGATGACAATTCCCAAGAACGGAAGGGGAATTGACAGTTATAAAGGGAGGCAAAAACCAACGAAGAGGGAAGAAAGTACCCGATCCGATATGTGTCCATGATTATTTTTTTATTTGTATTTTTTATGTTTTAATAATTATAATCGCCGTGCTCCATGGCAGGGGGGCAGCTGATCCACCGGATCGCCAAGGGAAGAGACGACGCCGGCGGGAGCATTCAAATCCTCAACAGCAGCTAAAACGCTCCTAAACCTGCAGGCCGGCGGTGCTGGCGTAAGAGCATACCGTTTGGCCATTATTGGGGTGGGTAAGTGACGAGGGCCTGGAAGTGGTGATGACGCTGGGTCGTGGAGCAGATGGGTTCCGCTCCATAGCTGTGCCAGTGTTCCTCTGTTTCCATGTCTGGGCGTGGTCAGTCCGCGAGCAACGGAGCATTTTCCCAGTTCCCAGTGAACTCTTGGTGCAGAATAACAGAGAACTTGACTGTTCCTTGCTTGGATTGATGATGGAGACGCAGAGAATGACTCCCCACAAGAGGCAAAGTAAAGGATGGTACTCCGTAATGGTAGGCGAACGACTCGCGCAGGTTCCGTGTGGAATCCCGGGGCTTCGATCGACGATACTGCCCCGCCTCACCGCCTACCGGGCCTACCATAAACGAGGTCTGGGCCAATCACGGGACTTCGATGGGCGGGGCGGGTGATGTCGTCGTGTGCAGCCACCCGCCAATGGGAGACGTCAGAGAACACGCCATCGCTCGGGCTGATGGTGAAAGCACCGATCCACGTGTGGGAGATGTCTCCTTTGGGTTTTTTTCGATTTTTTATACTATCTTATTTTTCTTATCTTTTATTTTTATTTTCATTCTTATTCTTTTTTTTTCTCTTCTGACAAATTTAACTTTACGCCACGACTCTTCCATAACATTCTCGCGATCTCATGTCGGAGTATACTCAGTATACACCTACGGGGCCCTCCTCTTAAGGTATACGTATTCAGATGCTCTACGGAGTATACCAAAGTCACACTAACGAATAGTCCGCGTAGTCCGCCTCCAACTCTCCAGAATTAATATCAACCCGACTACCATTCGTAACTCACCTCCCATTCCCAATAAGCTAACTACCTCCCCGGTCAGCGTCGGAGGAACCTAATCCCAACTCACCTCAAGTCAGCAAGCTGCTGATTGCTGATGTGCGGCAAGTTCTGCAGCTAAAATGGGGACATTTAGACTTAGTTCGAGCTTCCGGTCCATGCCAAGACCCTTCGGCAATGCAGCGGCCGCTTGGGGAAAGCCCGTCAACGATCTCCGACTCGGTCTATTCTGTTAGGATTTATGACTAACCTCTTCGTTAATCTCTAGGAGAACACTTCCATCTCGGGCTCGGGTGCTGTCAATGTGCTGCCTAAACAGGCAAATTATGATGATCATTGACATTACGGGAGCTGCACCATAATATTTGATATTCATTATTATTGATCGAGGTTAGAGACGGAATAGCGTGGCTCGTCTGTACACCGACCGTTAGCCCGACCGATGGAGATTCTCTAGGCAATCGTCCCCATTTGGACGGCTTCAATACCACGCAGTAGCTGCTGTTGGTTTTTCCCGATCGGTCTCGGTCTATCCAAATTCGCATTCTTCTCGTTTCATCCATCTCCTCGGCGTCCCCATCTGGTATGGCCAGAGATATCCTCCGGGGATTGCCACGATGGATTTGTTCAGCCCTCAGACCATCCTAACCCCTGTCGACTTGAAAGCTTGTTGCTTATGTCCAGGATGCTCTCGTCTAGCTCAAAGTTTGCGCATCTCAATACGGTGTATATCCAAACTCGGTGATTGTCCGCCGCCAAAGTACTCCTTTGCTCCATGAACTACCGGTATCAAGTATCGGAGCACCAACTCTGTCCGTCCTGTTCCACTACGGAGTACATCGGGGGGTATATTTTCACCTGCAGAGATGTTGCAAGTCGTAGCCAAACTAAGCTCTTGCATGCTGCGCCCCACTATAACACCATCCAGATCAAAATCGCGTCATTGATCTTATCACTTTTAGCGTCTTGTCCAGGCCTCTGTATGGTCAATCCCGACGACCTGTAGCCCCTGTTGAGGTCTTTTTTCAACGTCGCAGATGGTCTGACACGGTTGTCATGTTGTGCTCCGAGGTCAGTCTCTGGTTTTCAGGCACAATCTCAATTATGTCTAGTACATAGTACGGAGTACATTGTATGGGCTTCGTCTCGGCGTGGGATCCCGTTTGGATACATCCGTGATGTGGCGCATCAAGCGATGCACCTGCTTTCTAATTAATCATTCGATAAGTTCAGATGTCTCAGTCTCGCAGCAGTGGGTAGCAGGCAACTAACCAGGCAGTCTTTGTTGGTCTCAATTCTGTCGCTCGTATTCGCTAGGTATTGGGCCCCTTGCCGATCGGTCTCTGGGACTTTATTATGTGCTACCATTCGAAGCAGTCACGCCAGACTTGACACGAGACATTGTGCCCAGAGCGATGCTTGTCCAACGAGGTTTCATGCAAGGATTCTCGGGATGCATACCGTCAACATGGCTTTTCTGGACGAACATGTCTCAGCCTCGTCGACCTCGAGGACATGAAATATCTGACTTCTCCAATTGTCACCCATCATAACTTGACCATACGGCAAGATCCTCGCATGGTGCATTAAGGCAACTCAACTCGGCTTATCATGCAATATCTGTTCACCAATTAGGAGAAATCAGTGCTTAGATCTACCCCGGTCGTGGATGAGAATGATACCCAGTAACACGCCGGACCACAGCAACCCGACCTCCATGTCGGTTCATTTACCTCTCCGGCTACCCCGTGTCACACTTCATATCCTTGTGACCGGGTAATTCTATAAAGGTGTTCCCAACGGCGGAGATATCCATAGCCAAGATATCGGGTCGAGTGACGGACTACCCCGACCCAAGCGATACCAAATTCTGGGGTATCACTCGCGTGATCATGCTTTGAAATTTGATCTACTGGTCTTGAAAGGGATATACCGATCATCGAGCCATCAATCACATGGACCGGTGCCGCCATCCTGGTCAATGAATTGGAACATTCCCAAACAACACAACAGAGCCGTCAGCTCACCTGATCTTTCTAGTCGAAACCAGCATGCAATGAGATCCCAGAAGAGAGTAAGTTCGCTTTCACTTTCTTTAGCGCGACCTTCCCTGCCTTACTAAATCGAATCGTCAAGCTAACCTGACCAGCCCAACCCCGCATAGACCTTCCCTCGGCCAATCCTCCCGAGCCAAAGCGAAACCACCAATACCCCAGACATACCAGCGCTTAATATGAAATCATGCATGACAGCTCACGAACCGAACTCGTCGATCTCACTTGACTTGACGTCATTCTACATTTGCGTCTCACCTGAACTCAGCTCCGACCTACGAGCTACACCGTACACGGAGTTCGAGCACACCTACTTGTGGTTATCTAGTTTGGTCCGGTCATGCGATCCGCCAGCCATGTCTGTCAAATTCGTCGGAGAACACACTTCCGTCTGGGATTTTATTTTACCTTTTCTATCCCTGTGTCGTATCATCGGTATGGAGATCCGAGCGCGGAGAGCCGCCAGGAAGATCATCTGCGAATGCAGGGTGATGTCGACCTGTGACCGGGGTCGGGGTCGGGTTTGTGGGGTAGTCCGGAGAAGAGGTATACCTGGGGATTATTAACATGGACAGATAACGGTGCATGCTTATGCGATCACCGTTTCTAGCTTGGACATATAGCTGCAATGCCCTGCTATCTGGTGCTGCGGTTGCTATCAAGTTAGACATGAATTGAAGTACTGCTTACTTCTTGTGTCGCCATAGCTGACATTTCAAGCAGGAACTCCAACATAGTCTGCTAACCATCTGAGTGCACTAACATCTGTACCAGCAATTACTAACGGTCAGACACTACTCTGAAATACAACAAGAGAGAGTGTTTTCACCACCTTACATATTCCCGACTACATGTCTTAATGCGATGAATATCCCAGCTGTGATTTTGACAAGCAAGAGCTGAATCAACTTGCATATCACGACCATTACCCCATACAAAAGAATACACCCAAAACATATTCACGATGAATCACCCATCCAGAAAACAATTGCACATGATCCATTCCACCTCCACCACTCTCAAATACCTCACAACCACTCATTCCTCTTACCTCTCCTTCCTCAGACCTTAGACAATGGAAGCCCCCGAATCCGTCCCCAACACCCTCCCCGTCGCATTCCAATCCCTCATCAAATACACATACGCCTCCGCCACATCCTCCGGCCCCGCCACCCTCCCCGTAGGAAACCGCCCCTCAAAAAACTTAAACATGCCCTCCTTCTGCTCCCTCGGCAACCCATCCCACATCTCGGTATCCACCACCCCAGGCGACACCGCATTCACCCGCACCGGCTTCAACTCCAACGCCAGGTTCCGCGCCACACTGACCAACCCACCCAGGTACCCCGCCATGACCGTCCACTCCGCATTCGGCCGTTCCCAGCCAGCGCCCGTGGTCAGCGTGATCGAGCTCTCCGGCCCAGGGGCCAGATAGCGGCTCCCCACCTTCGCGACGAGGATGGGCGCCACGAGACGCAGCTGGCCCGTTGCTAGGATCGCGTCGCGCGACACGGCGGATAAGGGCATGATAGCGGGCGGGTCCGCCGCCGTATACACGATGTGGTGAATCGGGCGGGGCAGTTTCGCGAAGAGCGCTTCCAGGTCGGCTTCGATGGAGGGGTGCGACAGGTCGCAGGTTTCGCCGGTGATGGTCGAGGTGGGGAATTCGGTTTGGAGACGCGAGAGCGCGGAGGCGAGGCGGGTGGCGGAGGACGAGACGATCGTGACGTGGGCGTTGGCGGCGAGGGCGTGTTTTGCGACGGCGAAGCCGATGCCCGAGGTGCCGCCGATTATGAGGATGTTTTTGTTGGCGAGGCGGGTGTAGTTGTAGGTGGACATTTTGACTTTCTTCTGGGGGAGTATGATTTGGTTTGATGATGGGTAGATACTAGACGACTTCAAATCAACTGATTGAAGAATTCGGAAAAACAATAGTAAGAGTGAAGAGAAAAAGAGGGGTAAGTAAGAAAGTGTCAGACTCTGACCCGTCAGTCAGTCTTATATATACTCCCTCCGCCCTACCGAGTCAACCCAGCCAATCTAGTAACAGCTAATGAGTGAGCAATAAGGATATCTTACGATACTCACCCAGCCCCTAAGCCATTAGTGATCACCAGTTCTCGTGTTGAATTCACTCGTCAACACCATAACAGAAGAAGGGGCCGGTCATCTTTTAGCTCCGTTTAAGTCCGCCAAGGCGTTGAGGTTGACGGAGGGGTGAGTAGCTAAGTCCGAGGCTGGATGGGTGGGTAGTGGACGAGTGGCTGTTGTGATATAATAAGGGTGATTTAGTCTGGTTGAGAGAGAGTGTGTGTAGGTTGGCTTTGGTCACTTTACGTATATCTATGGTGATCCATGGATGTACAGAGAAGATCTGACACGAAGGACAAGCCATAATATAAAACTAAAGATGAGTAATTCGGACTATATTTGGAGCTTCAACTAAAAGTCGGCCTGACCGACCCTACAGAATAACATGCATCATAATAAATATTCATACCCAAGTCAGCGCTATAGTCTATACGTGAAACACTCGTCTCTCACTCGCTCTCCAGCTCTGGAGCTCCCATCCCGGAGCCAACTTCAACGAAGAAATGACTCGTCGGCCATAAACATAATCCCATCCATTTCCTCAGACCGGGTCTTTCATACCCCCCAGAACAAGGAAGATGGGAAACAATATAAGGCGTGGGAACGGAAGCAAAAGAGTTTGTGAGAATGTAATAAAATGGAAAGGAATATGAAATCTTCCGAGTCATCTCTTCCGAATCTTCGGTGCAAACGCCATCGCAAGAGCAAATCATCGAGTGTAAACCAAGGTGTAAAAGAAAAAAAGAAAAAGAAACAGTCGTACCAGGGCTGATATTCGCCCCTACATGGTATCATAAAGCGAACTTCATCAATGCCCCAGCACTCCATCTTCATCCGTCGTCGTCATCGTCATCATCACCACAGTCTCTTCTCCCTCACTCAACACGTTTACTGCGAAGCACACTGCACCCGCTCGGCGCCAGGAGGAACATCTTCGTCATCCTCGTCCATACCGCCGGCAGCACCGTGAGCGCGCGCTTGCGAGTACTCGCTGCCGTCAATCTCCTCCAGCTCAAAGTCCTCGACCATGGCGTCGGTGGGCGGCTTGGTCTGCTCCATGCGGGGAGGCAGGACCTGTTCCAGAAGGTTGAGGTTCTGCAGCTGATCCTTCTCAGGGAACTTGACGTCGAACTGAATGTAGAGGTTGCCGAAGTCGTGGTGACGGTACGAAGGCATACCCTGGCCCTTGATAACCTTGATGGCACCTAGAGAGAAAATTAGCAAAGCAGATCGTCAATATACGAGGTAATATAAACGTACCAGGCGTGATGACCTCGCCAGGAGCGATGTTGACGGTCAACCACCGGTCATCGAGGTGCTCAATGTTGAGGGTACCGCCGCCAAGAGCAGTGAGCAGATCGATCTCGGCCTGGTAGAACAGGTCGTCCTCCTTGCGCTGGAAACGGGGGTGGGGCTTCTGCTCGATCTCGAACACCACATCTCCCGGCATGACGCCGGGCATCTGGTCACCCTCACCACGGAATTCGATCTTGTGGCCGTTCTTGACACCCTTGTCGACGTGGACGTGGAGCACCTTGCGCTCGACGACGGTCTTCTTTCCGGTGCAGCGCTTGCAACGGTCCTTCTCACGGATGATCTCACCCTCTCCACTGCAGTCGGGGCAGACGGTCTGGAAGCGCTGGATCATGGGACCCATCTGGCGCATCATCGTCTTCATACCGGTACCGTTACAGCCGGTACACGACTTAACAGCACCGTCCTTACCACCGCGACCATCACATCCGGGGCAGATGACCGACTTCTGCAGAGCCAGCTTCGAGACCTTGCCGCGGTAGATGTCCTCCAGGTTGACCTTGTGCACGTGGTGGATGGTACGGGCCTTCTTGGGGCCCTGGTCGCGCATGCCACCGCCGAACATGCCTCCGAAACCACCACCGCCGCCGCCGAAGAACTGAGCGAAGAGATCCTCGGCACCCATGCCGCCGCCGGCACCGCCACCCTCAAGACCCTCCTCACCATACTGGTCGTAGATCGAACGCTTCTGAGAATCCGACAGGATCTCGTAGGCGTGGGACAATTCCTTGAACTTCTCGGCGGCTTCGGGGTTGTCGGCGTTCTTGTCTTTATGCGAGGATTGGGTTAGTTTCCAGTTCGTTCTACAGGGAATCCACTGGCTCAGGGTCCAACTGATCCCGGTCGCGGAGTGACGGTTCACGTCGGATCGAACATACCAGGGTGGAACTTCAGAGCGCCCTTCTTGTAGGCAGTCTTCAGCTGAGCATCGGTAGCCGTGGGAGACACCTAAACAGTTTTGCCGTCAGTCTCTTCCTTTTTTTCAAATCCAACAACACTGAGTCAAAAAAAGACAAAACCACTTACCCCGAGGGTGTCGTAAAACTTGGTGTCCTTGACCATTGTGAACAGAGTCTAGCGAAGGAAACGCGAATGAAACAAGAACTTTTTAAAAGTGAGACACGAAAAGAAAAGAAAGAAAGATCCACCGGAAGGGGGGTTTGTAGCCGGCGAACGAAGAGAGAGGAGGCGAGATGAAAACCAGCGGGAGATTTCTGGGAGGAGAGGAGACAAGAGGGGAAGGAAAGGAAAGTGCCTCGAATCCGGAGGAGCCAAGGTGGGACTTGTTGATGAGAGGGAGGAAAAAGGGTTGTGAAGGCGCTTGGAGATTAATATTATTATCAACGAGCGGCGACAAGCGGCTACCGCTGCGTATCGTAAGGCCGTAATGCCGTTACCAGGACCAGGCACCAACGCACTTTTTTTGTGGGTATTTCGATACCGGAGATAGGATACGGCGAACCGATCTGCTGCAATTCTTATACTATATAATCAAAGGACAGGAGTCAAAAAGATTCAAAGGAAATAGAGCGAAATCTGCCGGTTTTACCTCTCCCCAGCCCTGAATCCATCCAACCTGACCAGTCAGGCTGATCTTCTCGGGGGTTCGATCGGTTGCAAATGAGTGGCTCGAGCGTTGGCCGGGCGGCTTCGATGCGATTCTCCAGTCTTCCATCGCTTTCGCCGCGATTCCACGGCTGACTCCATCCCGTAAATTACGCGCCCGTGACGGCCTCCGGGCTGACAGAGCCTTGCAGGGCATTTCCATCGCCTTCCACGACGCATGCTGAACAGGTCAGATTCTGTATACAGTCTCTAGAAACAGGAGTGCTTTTGTATCCCTTCATAAGAAGCAACAATCAAATATTACTAATTGTTCCGATGTATTACGCATTACGGAGGGCATAAAGTTTTGTGTTTTCTGGTTCTTTTTTTTTTCTCGGGTGGCGTAGGTTCCTGCCTCAGGCTGTAATGTGGCGGCTGTCCGGTCCTTATCGATAAGGTTCTCTTTTCGAGCTCTCCCTTCAAGTCCCATTGCACCGAAGAAGCGGGATTTGCCCCGTCCCGCTGGTGACCATGGCCTCTCATCTTCTTTTCGGAAGAAAATCACCAGCAGAATCTTACTCCTAATTGGGTCTACCTCTCACATTCGAAACAAACGTCGAATGATGTACTCCTCATCGTCCAACTTCCATCTTGCCTTGGTACAGACAAGCCATGAACTTGGGAATTGTTCAACCGAATTGCATCGGGAAATTCTTGAGAAGAACGGGTACCGTTCAGATAATGACTTGTCCAGTTTGTTTCGCTTCCGAGGCTTCCTGGTCAGAGCCGAATGCAGTGACCCAGTTTGGTCTGATGATTCTGTACCGCTTGCCTAGTCTCCTGGGAAGGAATTCATATCAGGACACAGTCTGATAGTACAGTACAAAGGAAGACCACTGACATGGTCTCCAGCTGCATGGCAGAGCTGGTCGGGTTCTGAAAGATGGCTGCAAATGTCTTCCTTCAACTGTTCACAGTCGGCATTGGTGGAAGTAGCGTTTGCATTTTGTCAGTTGTTCAAGGAACACTGGGGAAAAGATAGTGAAAATAGTAACGCCTCCTCTGACAGGTTTAGAGACTTTCCACAATTGGAAAGAGCTGCGGCACACGAATTCACTAATGCAACAAGGGTGTTGATAGAGATAAATGACCGGATCATTGGAAAGAAAGAGATGTCAGTGCACAATTCATTCGGTGCAAAGAAAGGCTAACTGCATAAATACCTAATTGGACCCCCTAAAACCACCTCCCCCATCTCATGGAAACAATTTTATTCATTGATCTAGGATCACAATATCTGTCTCTTTCACTATGTGCACCGCATACATAACCAACGTGAAGTATAAATGCAAGTGTCCTGTGATTACATAATATGTTCTCAGGCGGCTTCTTGTTACCCCTGGACATCTTCATTACACATATATCTTATTCCAGCAGCTTCCCAGACGTAAATTTATTATGGCTTACCCCATAATTATCTACCCTGCTGGTGTTCGACGACCTATGATTGCTTTTGGTTCCTCGGGGATCATTTGTCGCGATTCTTGCAACGATACCGAAGTTCTAAAAAGTCCGCTTCGACATGACTTGAGTAGATGCAGCGAAGAGACTATTCTATCTATACAAGAGGAAGAGTCCTTCTCTATGATGACCATGGAGAGAGAAAAATTCATTTATCGATCTCTTCCCAAGCACAAGGACATCTCGAGTGCCTCGATATAACAGAGACCAGCATCCGCTTCCCTTATATGCACAATGGGCATCTTCGTGATTACATCCGGAAGAAGTCTGCGCATGTGGATGATCTGATCAAGGATATGTGGATACAGAATGCCGTGAATGCAGTACAATTCATCCACACTCATTCCGTTATACACGGAGATATCAGCGCCCGCAACTTTCTTGTTGCGGATGATCTATCCATCAAACTTGGCGACTTCGCAGGCTCTGGTATCGGGAACTTGTCCTCAGTTGTTATGGAAGAGGATCGCTATAGAAAATCTTCCGACGCGCCTCGGTCGTTCCAGACAGACTTATTCGCCCTTGGCTGTCTGATATTCGAAATTGTGGTTGGCTCACGCCCGTACGAGGAAATCAGCGATGAGGATTGGGAGACAATTGCAGAAAACTATGATCGTGGGATCTTTCCGCATGTGGAGGGCTTGAGATATGGAGATATCATTCATAAGTGCTGGACGTCTCAATATGCGGATGCCCATCAAATCCTCTTGGACATTGGAAATGCCGATCATAGAGGGAAGGGGCGAAGAGGGGATGGTCTGTCTGTTTTGCCGAGTCTCCCAATGCAAGCTCTTCTGCCTTTGGGGATACTGTCAATTGGTATACTTGCATTTTGTACCTACCGAAAATACAAGTGGGCCTAGACTTACATGAGAAGGTGAATCAAAACGCTAAAGTGCATTTTACAATCCTAGAATATTTGCCTAAAATGCGAAGAATATGCCCAGAGCAATTTGAGTTTCTTGGGTAATGGAGACATACGACTAGGGAATAAAGCAACAGTCGAATAGCCTGAGTTCCAAGAGAAACCCGCTAACCAGGATTGCGAAATCCCAGGTTTCCTGCTCGTCCAGGACCGAAAGACAGACGATGCCAGACGAGTAACTGTTGGGGGGGAAGAAACGAGGCACGAATTCGTACTTGGGAGGCTTCATCAAATACTCCTCAAAGTCAGCAAGGCTCATCTGGTAGTTTGGTGATACTAGAACCTCGGTTTGTAGGGAAGCATACATGCTTGATCTACGAGATCTTCATTATACTAACTACTCGGACCGACCCCTTACAGGCGACCGGGCTAGACTGACTTTGCGGTGGGGAATAGGTGCCATCTCCGGCCCCCCATGGTCATAAAGCTGTCATGGCCGTTTCAAGTTGGAGATATCGTCAAAGACTGTAGTCGAGCAGAGAGAAGAGGCCTGGCGACTTAGAAGCCATTCGGATATCGAGAGCCAGGCCTCGATTGCCGTCACGTACTCCGTAGAATACTGAATATATTTTTTATTTTATCATTTATAACGTTAATATCAGTTAACTTTAAAGAAGGCTTTGATTACTCAAAAGATTGACCTAATACTTCAAGTGAAGGATTCTAGTTATCCGATAGATAATCGTGGAGGATAGATCAAAGCTTTTTATATCTTTAGATATATTTAGTTTCAAAGGGCCCCAGATCCTCCTTTGTGATATTTCTTTTTCTTCTTCATAGGAAAACTGCTTGACCCCGAGTCAGAAACAAACTTGTCATATCAAGCTCCTTTGTAGACCGTCACAACAAGTACATCCCACCTTCCAGCTCCATACCTACTAACCTGATAAACACATATCCGGCCAGCATGAGGGGTTCTCCATATCTCTTATCACCGACGCTCCAAAAAGGGCGGGTCGGACTAGCACCAGAACGGCAGTTGGCCACAGATTTTTGCCCGCAGTTACTAAGCTTGTACCGCTTGATCCCACCTTCGCATTGCGTCGAGTGTCTTTTGCCAATTTCATTGCATTGCATTGCATCTCTGGTTGTTTTATTAGTTGATATTGAATTACTATATCCATACGGTCAATATGGAACAGGATCCTGGATTCATCGCTGCCGTGGAAGAGGCCAAGCAGGGTCTGGCCGAGGGCGGAGTCCCCATTGGTGCTGCGTTGGGTATGTGATTGAGTTTCCTCGCATACATATGCCATGGACGAGCGTGTATGTGGTTGGGGTATCTGTAACTGACGATGTCTAGTTTCCAAGGATGGCAAGATCCTCGGTAGAGGACACAACATGCGCGTCCAGAAAGGCAGCGCGACGCTACATGTCAGTTCAATGGAGACATTCTTATCTATAGCCGGCACCCGCCCCCAACACTAACATCTACATAGGCTGAGATGTCGGCTCTGGAAAACTCTGGACGTCTCCCCGCCTCTGCCTACGAGGGTGCCACCATGTACACTACCCTGTCGCCCTGCGACATGTGCACTGGTGCCTGCGTGCTCTACAAGGTGAAGCGCGTTGTCATCGGCGAGAACAAGAACTTCCTCGGCGGCGAGGAGTACCTCCTCAACCGCGGAAAGGAGGTGATTGTGGTGGATAGCCAGGAGTGCAAGCAATTAATGGAGAACTTCATCAAGGATAAGCCGGAGCTTTGGTATGTTTGATTCTTTTGTATCGTGCTGCATGCGATCAAGTCCATATTTTCTTTTTTGTTCTGTTTCAAGTCCACCGAATGCTGACTGTGAACCAGGAATGAGGACATTGCTGTTTAGATATGTCCGCTCAATTGCTGTAGATGCCAGCGTTGATTAATGGTTGGGTGTTCCCTCATGTACATAAGTTTTAAGGACTGCCGAAATCAACGGAATATGATCACGTGTGATGGACATTTTAAGCAGCAGTAAGGCGATGGATCTCTTCGAAGAAAAACTTCAGATTCTCCGGCTTGACGAAGGGGGTGATACCTGCTTCGATTAGTATCTCGAGTATACAACAGCACAAGGACCAGTTCTTACCGTGGCCCAGGTTAGCAATCCATCCTTGCTTGCCCTTGCGGAATCCTTCGACCATCTTCTCGACCACCGGCGTGATAGCCTCCGGGCCTCCGTAGAGCACACCAGGGTCAGCGTTACCCTGAATGGTCACTCGGCCATTGGCAATGCGCATAGCCTCGGCCGAATCGTGCAACCAGTCGAGTCCAACGACGTTGTAGCCCGACTCGCAAAGATCCTCCAGAGCATACCACGCGCCCTTGGCGAAGACGGTCATCGGAACCGGCTCCAGTCCCATCTCAGTCAGCTTCTTGGGCAAGTTGGCCGAGATATGGCGCAAGTAAGGCAGAGAGAACGACTGGAAGGACGACGGGGACAGTTCACCCGCCCACGAGTCGAAGACCTGAACCAGCTGGGCGCCCGCCGCGACCTGAAGAGCCAGATATTCCACACAGATCTCCGCGATCTTCTGCAGCAACGCCTGCGACTCCTTGGGGTACTTGTAGACCCACGTCTTCGACTGAACGAACAGCTTGCTGCCTCCACCTTCAACCATGTAGCAGAGCAAGGTCCACGGGGCTCCACAGAAGCCGATGAGGGGCACGCGACCTTGCAGCTTGTGACGGGTGAGGGTGATGGCCTTGTAGACGTAGTCCAGCTCCGACTTCACATCGACCTGTTTCTGCATGACCCGCTCATATTGTCCATCGTCCGGCGACTTGAGCGGTTCGGGGAAGTGCGGCCCCTTCTTGTCGACCATTTCCACCAGCATCCCCATGGCCTGGGGGATGACGAGAATATCCGAGAAGATGATCGCGGCATCGATAAGTCCGGCATACCGTTCCACGGGCTGGAGGGTCAAAGTCGAAGCGATCTCGGGGCTGCGACAGCATTCGAAGAAATCGCGGTTGCCTTTGGCTTCGTGGTACTCGGGAAGATAACGACCGGCTGTATGAGAGACTCGTTTAGTAATTGCTAATCTTCTAGTGCGAATAGCTGCCTGGAGATGGGAAGGATAAAGTCCAAAGTACCTTGGCGCATGACCCAAATGGGAGGGCGTGCCACCTTCTCGCCTGCAATGACATCAGCCCATTCAATTTCTGCTTCGACGGATAATCAGAAAGTCACCTCTCGCGGCCCTGAGCAAAAGGTCGTTCTTCAATGGCTCGAATTTCACCTGCATTTTGACGGTTGATCAAGCACAGGAAAGGTGTAGAATGAGGGGACGAAGTGGGATGAGGGGAGCCAAAGTCGGACAGTCCGTCTCGGCGTCTCGGCCCGCAAATCATGCGGATACTGCCGGAGTCTTCTGCAGAAATCTACAGACTACGACGAAGTTTGGTTTTATTCATAAAAATGATGTTGACTTGATGTAAATTTATATACGGTAGCTTTTGATCTATAGACAAAACAGGGTGTATTCCTTATACTACTGGTCTCAATCATCCACGCCCATATGCTTCTTTCGCAGATTGCCCAATCCATATAGTGAGTCGTTGGCCTCCTTGCGTTTCTTGGCGTCTGCGATGGCTTCCAAGTCAGAAGTGCCGCTGGAATTGATGTTGGAGATCGTCGAGTCCGTCACCGGTTCCCAAGCCAAGCTCTCGCCCTCAGATTTCGCACGATAGGCCTCGACTACAGTCGCAGCCGGGCTGGCTCTCCATTCCTGCGTCGATCCTGCCTCTCGAACATTATCGACGCAGACAATGACCGTGCTGTCCTTCTCGTTGCTCGTCACGTCAAGAATGTTGCCCGAAGCACTAACCGACTGCTGCTCTTTCAACGTGCCGTCCGATTCTTGCACAAAGCACCGGAGTTGCGTGGATCTAGCGTATGGTTAGAGCTCTGTAAATGTTTCGACTTGCGTAATTCTGGGAGCTACTCACCCCTCGATCGCGACCAAGATCAATTTCAATGTGCCGAATGATGTTGCCCAGATGCCACGAACAGCAATGGGAGCAGACTCTGACGTCTCCTCCACCAGAGGAACCTTCTGTAGTATGTGCGCTTCGGCCCACTTCCACACAAGCAGGTAATTGTCGCCTCCACCAGAAACAAGGTACTCCGGAGCCCATGCCGGAACGCAGAGCTTGGTGATAAACGAGGTGTGGCCCAGACACTGATTCTCAACGACGTGCGTCTGAGGAGGTCCGCGAGAAACGCGAATGTGCTCATCTCGATCCGCAGTCAGAATGTAAGTGCGTTTCTTGTCACCGGACGCGTCCACGGGGAGCGAGACGAAAGCCAGGTCAGTGAGCAAAGACACGTGGCCGACGAGCAATTGATGCTCAAATTTCAAACTAGGTCCTTCTTCTGAGAGCTTCTTCATTTTCGCGTCGTATTGGAGCTTTTGCTGTTCCAAAGACGCCAAGTTCCCCTTGGTGTGCACCGTTAGATTCGTCGCTGCGGGCCAGTTATGCTTCATTTTGCGAGCGGCAACTTTGGGCGCCGCAACTTCCTCATCGCCGGGAATCAATGGCAGGGAATAGACGTCTCCAAATTTGTCACCCAACAAGACCAAGCTGTCATTGCTAACCAGGGAAAGCGCGCAGCCGCGCTTTGGCATGACTCTATGAACCGGATGAGTAGGAAGTCCCCAGTCATGGGTTTGGCGTTCACTAACCTTTCACTCAATTGCTGGAATGAGCCGTCCTCGCCCAGTTTGAAGACACGGACGCATTTATCCTCCAATGTCATTGCAACCACATGTTCGCCGGTAGAAGAAGCTACCACGAGAGGAATGCTCGTCCAGGACGGGGTTTTGGATTTCCCGGATGCTCCGTTGGTTGAGGTAGGCTGTTCAACTGCCGTCTCGTCCGTCGCGGACAGCTTCCTCTTCTTCTCTGGCGGACCCTGGTTCTCAACATTGCTCTGGTCTTCAGCCTGGGGCCAACTAGCAAGCCGCTGTCCGGTCTCGGCAGCGTACGAGTAGAGCTTTGAGCCGGCCGACCCTACAATGATGTTCTGACGACCGACATGCTGCCGGTCCACGAACTGAAGGCGCTGAAAAGGATGCTGGAAGATGGCGACCATGACTAAATATGTTGATGGGACGAGCAAACCTAATTGATCGAGCAACTCGAGGCAGAAAAAAAGTTCCCGATGCGATGCCTCGTCAAAAGTCATAGAATGCGACGCTAGTCTTATCGCGTGTCTAGCCGCCCGCCCGCCAGTAGCGCCCTCACGTGACCGCACTAGGCGAAGTGCACAAGAAAAGAAAATCCCAAAATCGAAATTCTTCCCGACCTTCAACGTCGCGATTCAATTCGGACACCATCACCACGATCACCTAATAAGGATTTTCACTTGCCCTTAAACAACCTCTCTTCAGTGAAATAAGAAGAAATGGGGGGCAAGTCTGCTACCAAGGCCGCTTACTTCGAGAAGCTCAAGAGCCTTCTCGATGAATACGCTACCGTCTTCATTGTCGGTGTCGACAATGTCAGCTCTCAGCAGATGCACGAGATTCGTCTGAGTCTCCGTGGCGAGGGTGTTGTTCTCATGGGAAAGAACACCATGGTACGTTTCACTGGCTTCCTGAGCTCGTTGGGCGTCAATTGACTCGCGATTGTTCTAGGTTCGCCGTGCCATCAAGGGCTTCGTCACCGACAACCCCGAGTACGAGCGTCTGCTCCCTCACGTCCGCGGTAAGAACAATTGAGTCGTCTCACAATTGATGCCACGTCTGACTGGTATGATTTACAGGCAACGTTGGTTTCATCTTCACCAACGGCGACCTGAAGTCCACCAAGGAGAAGATCCTGGCCAACCGTGTCGCTGCCCCCGCTCGTGCTGGTGCCATCGCCCCCGGCGATGTCTGGATTCCCGCCGGTAACACCGGTATGGAACCCGGTAAGACCTCTTTCTTCCAGGCTCTCGGTGTCCCCACCAAGATTGCTCGTGGTACCATCGAAATTGTGTCCGACCTGAAGCTCGTTGAGGCTGGCACCAAGGTCGGTCCTTCCGAGGCCACCTTGCTCAACCTGCTGAACATCTCTCCCTTCACCTACGGTATGACTATCCAGCAGGTCTACCAGGAGGGTCAGACTTTCAGCGCTGCCGTTCTGGATATCGAGGAGTCCCAGCTTCTCGATGCTTTCACCTCGGCCATCCAGACCATCACCGCCATCTCCCTGGCTACCAGCTTCCCCACCCTCCCCGCTGTCATGCACTCTCTCGTCAACAGCTACAAGAAGGTTCTCGCTGTCGCCATCGAGACCGACTTCAGCTGGCCCGAGATTGAGGAGCTCAAGGACCGTATCGCCAACCCTGACGCTTACGCTGCCGCCGCTCCTGCCGCCGCCGCCGCTCCCGCTGCTGGCGAGGCTGCCCCTGCCGCTAAGGAGGAGGAAGAGGAGGAGTCCGACGCCGACATGGGCTTCGGTCTCTTCGACTAAACGTCTCGTCTTAACACGCGAGATTCAACTACCATGTATTAGATTCTTTTATGCCTGGGCATAATGGTTTGGGAATAATGAAAATGATTCATGGATGACGAACAGTCGGTTACCTTTTCAATTAGATATGGAACGTAGTCACGCTCCATTATCTTCTTGACTTCAATGGTGAGTTTGTCTTCTGCATTCTTTTTCTCGTTCCTCGTTACACCAACACCACATCTTGGCGAATGATGATACAATTTTTAACTCCGAGCATCACACCCTGGCGGGTGGCTCTGAAGATTAAAAACACGCAACAACAAACACTCTAATTTTTTGCTGACGCCAATCCTCACTTTGAAACTTGCTTTTCACACATGACATTGGCAAACATCATTGCTAACATATGTCTCAGGTCTTGTAGTTGAACAATATCTATGGCACCATGTCTCCTTCATGTAGATCTGGCGAGGAACAGTGCTGTAGATTATGGATTGGAAAGGGTGTAGACGGATGGGGTGTGAAGGGTTCACAAGGGGTTACTTATAGACTAGTCAATCCGAATACTTTCCCATCTCAATTCACTTTGCATTAATCAATCTTTGTTTTGTACCTTGCCGCTCGAGGCCTTTTTCCGCCTGAATCTCTCACCTCAATTCGTCTCCACCTCAAACCATTCTCTTCATTATCATCCGCTTCGGCAATCATTTTGTGTCTTTATTCCATCAACAACGTGAAACCGCTAGCACTGGTGGCAGGATGGGTTTTGGGCCTGAACAATGTGTTCGTTTACGTACATCTCATCAGAATTTCAGCCTGTGAACGGTTTCGTGATATAAAGTGTCTCTGATTTCATTGATTGGATATATCGGGTCTTGTGGTTTTTCGCTCCTTGCTATGAGTGATTCCATGTTGGACCATGTCTATTAGAAGAAGAAAATATAGGGTCTTCTCGTTCGAGCGAAGGAATAGATAATGCTAGGAAAGTCGCTAAAACGATTGACTGTATTTTGAACAGCTTGATTAGCTTTTGCCTTTCGCCTATGCTAAACTAGCAAATCCCGATTGGTAGATGAGAGAATAAGAAAATATGTATGTATGATTCAACACTCCTGTATGAATGTATAGACGATGATTCTTCACATCTTATCTATCTAAATGAAAAACAATTCCCGACAATTGAAAGAAATCCTTCGCAGAAAGAAGCACCTGACTTTACAAACCAACAAAAATAGAAATCTATATACTGTGAAACGAAAAGAAAAGTGAAGTAGAAAGGAAAGTGAAGATCTGATCTGGGGTATGCCGCGACCTCAAAGCAAAAACACGTATGTGCCTTTATTTTCAGTAATTCAGAAGGAAAGGTAATTGCACGTATATGTGTGAATGTGTATGTATGTATGAAGGTCATAAGTAGGAAGGAAAAAGGATTCAGCTAGGAGAAAGGCAAAAGAAATTGGGGAATCATATCAATCAAGCAGCGGCGACTTCAGCGCCGGCCGCACCGAAGAGTCGTTCCCTCCATTCGCCGCAGATAGCTTCGAATCCGCTTACCACGTCGCCGCACTCACGGCCGGCTTCGCGGTCTTTCAGTCGGCGATCCCAGTCGCCTCGTTCGATCCACCGCGTGCCTTCCTCACGACCTTCCTCTTCGCGACGGAGTTCCGCGACGAGCTCCCGTGCAGATCGAAGTCGTCGGGAGGCGGTTGAGGTGAGCTGGCGGGATTCGTAGAGGGTATCGCTCAGTCCACGGAGGGAGAGGGTGATGTCGGAGGTTTGCGAGACGAGGGTTTGCAGAGAGACGAGGGGATCAAGAGATGATGTTTGCGAAGGCGTGTCAGGGCGAGATCGAGACGGGTCAGGGAATGGGTAGGGGAGGTTCGGTAGGAGATCTTCGTCGATGAGGGGGATGAGAGCATCGATGGCATCTGGAGAGAGAATCGGGAACGGCGAGAAAAGGAGAGGGTGGGTGAGGGTTTGCAGGGTGCGGGTTTGATGGGTGAGATGCGACGTGATAGAGGAGTGTGCCGTGATGAGTCTGTATTTCAAACGAGTCAGCTGTGAAGTCCATCAACAAGAAAACGGAAACAACCAAGAACGACCAACCTCATTGCATTATTCTCGATGCCACTCTGACCACCGAGATCTCGAAGAGCTTCGACGGCCCTTTGAATGACATGGTCGTTCTCACTGCCATTGTTCTCAATACCACGCCGAGCCAGGCTCTCGATCTCCGCCATCTGACTCTCCAGACTGGGTGATATATCCGCCTCCTCCAAGTCGGACTCATTTCCGTAATCAGACCCGTCATAGTGCGACTCGTGTCGTCGGTGCCGATTGCCACCATTCCGCGTTCTGGGTCTCGGTGGGTGCAGAGAGCCCCGTTCGGACGAGTAGCCCGACGAGGGGGTTCTGTTGGCCATGTGATATTCATCTTCGGTGTCGCTGCGGTCCGCACGTTGTGAAGCCCCGGGGGCATTCTCCATCTCCTGTCCGGACGCATACCCGTATCCACCTTCCTCTTCCTCCCATGCGTCTGCCAGCTCATCTGCGAGGTTCCCCAGCCCCCCACCCATGTCGGTCGCACCGCCAAAGTCGCCCGACATCCTCTGAAATCCGTTCAAGCTCTGGGCATGGTGTTGGCGGGGTAGGCCGGGAGAATTAGGGGCGGACGACCGCGGAGAGCCGTGGGAGAAATGGTTCGGAGCATACGTGCCGGGGGAGATTGGGTCGAAGTCGACGCTCGACGCCTGACTCTGCGTATGGCGGTGAGATAATTTCAGGGGAGGGACGGACGGCATGATGGAGATGGTCGGATATGCAGGTTTAGGAGAATTTTGGCACTCGGATAACGGTCGATCACGCAGGAATGTGAGAGGATGGAAGGAATGACAATTTTTGGGGAAGTCGAAAAATGAATAAATAATAAAAATATAAGAGGAACCGAGAACACACCCCTTAAATATTCAGGAGGGGAACCCGCGAATTGCAGCTGCGAGCTAAACTCCGATCGAACGTGTTGAACAGCAGCAAGGGGCAAAGAGGGGGGAGGAAACGAAGGAAAGGAGATGTCAACAACGGGGTGTCAATCGCATCACCAGGATGCGCACCACAAAGAGAGACAGACACGAAAAACGAGAGGTGTAAACGGTCAACGGAAAGAGACCAGGTCAACCCTGCAGGTTTCATTCAGATGAAGGAAAGACAAGAAAGTCGAAGGCCGAAATGAGCCGGCATTTTCCCGTGACCGCCGAAGCCCCAATCGGACCGCTTTTTGCGTCCCCCGCCGTTGATGCTTCACTTGCCTAGTTTCACCTATCTTCTCCCCTCGCGGTTCCTACCAACCCTCCATATTCTCCCTCAATTACCTCCTGCTCCAGACGTCAAGATGAGCTCCATCCGTCGCATGTCCCCGACGGACCTATTGTCCATGAACCTGACCAACCTCGACCCTCTGACCGAAAACTATGACCTCGGCTTCTACCTCAATTACCTCATGCGATGGCCGTCGCTCTTCAGCAGCGTTCAGGATCGTCGCGACGGCATCGTTGGCTACAGTATGTCTTCAACTCTGCCTCCGTCTCACAGCTCTTCTTCTGTCTACAAACAACACTCTCCCAATCCTCGTCACAACCACCCACCCCACCAGAAAGAACGCTCTTCCATACAATCCAGACTCAAGCAGACCAAACGCTAACGTCACACAACAAACAAAAAGTCATGGGAAAGCTAGAGGAGCAGCACCCCTCCATGCGCCACTCGGAACACTACACCCCTTGGCACGGCCATATCACCGTTCTGACCGTTGCACCTGCAGCGCGGCGTCTCGGCCACGCGCGCCGTCTGACGGAGCGATTGGAGCGCGGCTCCGATATCAACGATGCCTGGTTCGTTGATCTGTACGTGCGTTCGGGCAATAAGGTTGCGGTGGATATGTATAAGGGCATGGGGTAGGTTTTACTTTTGTTTAGTTCCTTGCCTTTTGATTATTGCGCACTGCGCTTTGTTGGATGACATACTGATGCATGAACTCAAATATCTAGGTACTCCGTCTTCCGTCGCGTGGTCAATTACTACAGCGACGATCCAACAGGCATGTCAGAGTCAGGCGAGGACGCCTTCGACATGCGAAAACCCTGTAGTCGAGACAAGAAGCTACAACATGTGCGCGAGAACGGCGAAAATTTCCCAGTCGGGCCTGAAGATGTGCTATGATCATGGCAGGAAAAATGGGGTTATGTGACGTAGCGTCGGAAAACCAAAAAGATGAGTTGTAAAGTGGTTGTCATTGTTTGGGTTAGCATTTTGGTGTTGGGGGAGTTTGTGTGCCGCTTCTCTTCAAATTCGAGTTTTAATGTCATTTGGAGGATTCATATTTATATGGTGTCTAATGAACATGATACTAGGTCCAGTCGGAATCCGCTGTTCTTGTCTAGATTTGGGGAATTAACGTATTCAGTATGCTTGTATGTATCGATTTCTCCTATTTATAAGACTGCCATTCCATATGGTCCTTGATGAGTATATACATTACTTTTCGTTCCATAACGCCAACCCAGAATGCAAAGATAATGCTTTTGTATATTATGAACCAGGCTGGTTCGACAGATATTAGCCCAACGCTGCCGTAGGGATAACATCCAGTTAATCGGCGGTGTTGGGTAGAGACCCCGAGGATCCTGTACCCACGGAGGTTGGAGGTCTGCAAAAACAGAGATACACATGCGTACACGGAAGCTGCAAGCTCGAATGGGATAGAAGTAGTCTGATCATAAAACGGTCACTTAATCCAAGGTAGCTTGATCTCCAAAGACCAGCTAATGATCCGTCGTCCGGGTGAAGTTTCATCCCATCTTGGTGCTCATGCTTTGACAAAGAATCTCGGTCCGGTGCGTGAGAATCTCAGGGCCGCGAATATCGAGGCAGAGGTGATAAGACAGCAGGCCGTGAAGAGCTGCACTCCGAGGTATTTATGCGTGTCGTTCAAGATCGCCCCACCGATGGGCGTTCCAATCAGCAGCCCAATAGATGTAGTCGCAAAGATCATGCCCAAGCGTGTGCCCAGGTCACGAATGTCCTTCGTCAGACTGGCCATCACTACCGGAGGCAGCGACACAAAGCCGCCAGAGCAAAGACCATACAAGATAGCCAAGACGATTATCCCGGGAACGTTGTGGACACCGATCCATGCAAAAGCGAGAATAGCGGTGGCTGTGGCGGCAGGCGTGAGCATGTTTAAGGGACCGGTATGATCGGCGATAAAGTTGGGCAGGATTCGCCCAAAGGTGGATCCGGCATTCAGCATCGACAAGAGATAGAAGCCCAGGGAGGAATCCACGATGCCGGTGTCGATGGCATATGACTGAACATAGAACAAGAAGTTGTAGAATCCCAGGAAGCCCAAGAACATCGCGACAGCGAACATCACAAAAGCCGGCTCCTTGAACGCCGAGAGCTGAACCAGCTTGCGCTTCTCCTTCGGTTGAAATCGCATCCGCATTAGACAAAAGGAGAAGCAGCATAATCCAAATGCCATGAATCCCACTGCGCGAGTTGCCCATGGAAATCCAACCTTGTTCTGTAATTGGTTGAACATGATCGGATAGATAACACCGCCGATGCTACTACCCGAGGCCGCCAGTCCGTTGGCGAAACCTCTCTTGTTCTTGAAATACTGCGGTAGAATGGCCACAGATGGCACGAAAAGGCATCCACTAGCCAATCCAATACAGACACCTTGCGCAAGAATGAAGTGCCAGTACTGTGTGGAGATACTGGTCATCATAAGCCCGAAAGGGAGCATGAAAGTTCCGAAACCAACGAGGGCACGGAAATAGCCTGCGTCGAATAGAGGCCCCGTCACGACCCCGAAAAGCATAAGAAGGAAAGACTGCAGTGATCCAATCCATGCGATGGACGATGACGACACGTCAGAAAGGATGTTCTGTTCATAGTAGGTCTGGAAAGCCCCCCACGTGTTGATGACACCCCTAATAGAGAACATGGTCAGTAAATCGGCGATCCGCGATGGAAAGAATGCACGTGGAAACCACTGATTATCGCACATACCATGAGTTGAAAAACAGGAAGAAAGATCCTAGAACTTGTAGCCACGCTGTTAGACCAGTGTCGAACGTCGGCTCTTCCGAAGGTTTCTCGTGGAGAGGAATTGGTGTATTCGAAGTCTGTTCGTTGCCATTGTCGCCGTCATTCAAGGAGTCCACAACGGTCTTCTCTGCATCAGCATTTGTTCCCATGTTTTATTTCGAATGAGGTCGAAAGGTTTTGCACCAGACAGACAGGTAAGGATGACCGAGCCCGAAGGTAAAATGTGAGAGCCTGGGAGGGAAAGAGCGATAGATGCGAGTACAGATTATTTACGGTAGAAAGCAAAGAGTATTAAAAATCAGATTCAGAAGTGGAAACCATAAATGAAAGATCGACGCCAACAAACCATTTACCGAAGAACAGAAGACGAAGAAAAGGCAGCCTGAAATCGAGATTAAAGCGGAGGGCAGGGGCAATATATATAAATGTTGGACTCAAAAAATCTCAGCATCCTTGTTCCTGGCGGGGCACCTAACAGGCTAAGCATGGGAGCTAAAAAAGATGAATGGCAGGCCACGCCAGACCCTCGAGGAGGGTCGATCCACCCTCACGGGAACATCCATATTTGCGGCAGTGAACAAATGAATAATGAGTCAAGCCACCAAGCGACCCATTCGCGGAGGATACCTACGGGGAGCGCCGAAAGACCGAGTGGATTCCCGAGAGCACAACCTTGGGGCCGGGAAAGATATCTTGCCCCCATTGCCGAACATCTTTTGTAGGGTATCATTGAGCATTTGGCGATCCACACCGACACTGAAGAAGGGTTCAGGGATTAGACCCGTGAACCTGCAGAGAAAACGAACATCTCGGGCACCAATCCTTTCACAAAAGCGCTTATTGACGATTGGAGCTGCATTAGACCCGGTGATATCTAGCATTGCCGGGGAGTTAGCAGTTCAACACCCATTGGTTCAGGGGCAGGTAAGATTTAGTCATGAGTCTGGGCAGCGTGCCGACTTATCCAGCGGGGAAGAAGCTGGGACCATTATTAATGGCGTTGTATGCGAGATGTGGGATAGAACTCGGCTTCTGATTTGAAGAAGAGTTCAATGTGACTTTGGGGAGGCGAGATGGTACCCACACCAACCCTCAAAATCCATATCAAAGAGTGGGCGAGCTGGTGAAGATGGCAAACAAGGAAGAAGATGCATGCGGTCGAGGAAAATGGAAGAAGGAAAGAATGTGGGCCGGAGAAAGTTGGTTCCTCCGGCTGCTGAGGTAATCACGTCGCATTTGACATTGGATTCACTTCAAATCCGATTTCCGATTCCTGTTTCTGCAGATTCCCGAATCTAATACATTACCATATTCAACTGATTGAGCAGCAATGTCAATTGACTCATCATCATCCCCTGTCAAGTTGGATTTCCAAGCATCGTCCTCAGTCTCCTAGATCGACGGCTGCATCTCCACCCACGTCATGCTTAGTCGATGTCCCCGTCGAAGCAACGTTTACATATGACTATCAAAGCTTGATTTCAAATCCTTCAATGTCAGCAGGTTGCCTCGGATGAGTGCCGGCAAACGATAGGACTTTTGCAGTTGCACATGCGGTTTTGAATCGCACAGGTCTCGCCAAACAAGTACGATGCCAGCGTAACTATCGGCAAGCTGAATTTTAAGCCTGTGGGCATGGATAAGAATATCCCGACTGGACCCTCCGCCAACAGTACTCTTGGTCGGAACATGCGTCACGCAATGGAATGACCTCACGTCTCAGAATAGTCCGGGCTCGAAGAGAGGATGCATGATCAGCGAACACTGCCACCTTATAGACATGGACACCTTCAAACTCTTGAAAAACCTCAAAGAACACCAGCTAGGGTTGTGACAGAGCAGAAAGGCTCAGGCGGTTATATTTAGGGTACCTAGTCTTCGATTCAGGCCAGGCCACAGGCCTCATAAATGGCAGGTATCCTTAAGCATAGGGCTTGATCCTCTTGTCAGGCTTTACTAACTAGCATCCACGGTTTGCTTTTAGAGATGAATCAGACCAGGAGACTCAGCACAGTGAAATTACTACAAGAGGAACATTTGTGACATGTCAGAGTTAGGGTTATGCCAGATTCTGGCAGCAGGCCATGCAGTAGATTGCAGAACGTGGTCGTAATCAAACATCAAACTTTTTTTTCTTATTTTATCTAGAATTCTGCATTGCGCTATGTCTTGAGTTTTTTCTTTTCCCCGTTCCCAAAGACCAAACTGGCCGATGGAGCCATTACGGTCTGTTTTTCCTGCTCCCAAACTCCACACGCTATGCCGGATAAGAGAAATAGAAAGAATAACATACAAATTAAAGTGTCAAGGTACCCAATTTCAATATACAGCCACCCAGTCCGTCCCCGGAGCTAAAGCAGTTCTTCACATGTCCAGTCCTCGTACCTATAATTACGAGAATAGCGGTTAGATTGAGCTGTGCTAAACCTTTCTCAGTTTTGATCGGGTTAGAAAAGCCGCTTACCATCCGTCAGGCAGATATCTCCTCACAATCAGAGGAATCTTCTTCTGATTCAACTCCTTGAGAGCAATTTGCAAAGGATCCGTTTCACCTTCGAGATCGACCAGCACCGGAGCATTCATACTGATGACAGTGTCAGTCACAAAGAAGCTCCCTTCTTCCTGCAATTTGGGCGCATGTCCTCAAACGAACCTGATCTGCAGGGCTCTGGTACCCAGGACTCGCGCTCTCTCGTATTTGGTCATGTAGGGAGTCGTCGTGCGCTCTTCGTTCGGCACTTTCTTTTCCCGCGCCTGTTCCATCACCTTGCCCGAGTAGCCAGCATTGGGGTCACCCGAAACAACGACGCGATCGCCGTTGACCTCCGGCGCATACGAGTCGTCGCCATAACCGTCGGCGCCTACTTCGTTGTCGACATCCTCGGGGTTTAAGAAGTCATCGGGCTCGTCGAGTTGCTCCGCGGGGTCGTAGTCGTAGCTGGAGACACGCCAGGTCAGATTGAAAAGTTCTCGAACATGTATGATGTAAATTCATTAAGGGCTGTCCAGGACTGATGTCGCCTTTTTTTGTTGTTGTGTCCAGGAGACAGGATTGTGAAAAAAGGTCTCTTACTTGTCTGCATCGCCGTGATCACCGTAGTCAGACATGATGCCAATTCAAGAGCTCGCAAGAAAGGATAGAAAAAAAGAGAGAGCGGGTGACGCTGTAGCTACACAAGCAAAAGGAAAAAGCACAACACGTCCCGGGCGAGTTGAGTGAAACGATCGACGATGCGACGGTGAAGAAGATTGAGATCGCGATTCCCAAAAGCAAAAGGCGGCGGAAAAAGTTCCTTGTCCCGGCCTGCCGCTAGTCCTCTTTGAGCAATGCTGCTTCACCGCCTCAGACGGACTCTCCCGGCAAAACTTTTGTCTTTCTTTATCAGCTTCAACTTTCGCGATTTTATTCTCGGGGCTTTGTCTCGCTTCCCAACAGGAACTGTGTGTTTCTTTGTTTGTTCATCACTTCGAATGGGCCTTTGTCTGTGTTGCTCCAAGATTCAATCGTCGTCGGGGCTATGGGACAGAAAAGAAAAGCCTCTGAAGGCTTCCCAACACTGAAAAAGGTCCTGAAGCAAACGGCGCTGGATGATACTGGTAGGCGCATTCTGATCCAATTGAAGTACCCATCCAAAATATGAACCCTTCCTAATGTTATCCCCTTTTAGATCCTATCTATGAGGAGGCCAATTCCGATGACGATTATGCTTCTTCTAACGAGAGTATTGTCACCGGCGACAGTCTACACGATACCCCGGCCACTCCCTTCTCGACAACCTCAACCAAGTATCCCTCCGAACTGAAGACTCACCGCTGCCCCTTCGACGGCTGCTCGAAGGCATTCAATCGTCCGGCTCGACTTCAAGAGCACCTGCGCTCCCACAATAACGAACGGTTATTCAACTGCACCCATGAAGATTGCGACAAGACCTTTCTGCGAGCCTCTCATCTGAACCACCATATCAAGAGCGCCCATACCGGAGTTCGAGATTATGTCTGCGATCGTCCGGGCTGCGAAAAGAGCTTCGTGACTGGCTCCCGTCTTCGTCGACATTTGGCGGCTCACGATGGACGAGACAAGTATCGTTGCACGGAACACCCACCGTGCAATGAAACGTTCCGGAAACACTCGACGCTCCAAAAACATATTATGACGTGCCATTTGAAGCAAAAGCCTTTTCAATGCCCGCATGTCGATACGACGACCGGTCAGAAGTGTTCTATGGCATTCGACACCGCAGGTCATCTTCGCGCCCACGAGAGTCGAGTCCACACCGACAAGCGATTCACCTGTGCGGAGTGCTCCCAGCAGGGCTGCGCCGAAAGCACGGATCTGATGTCCGCCTCAACGACCGATAAGCTGACGGTGTCCTTCCCCACGTATGCGCTGTTGCAGGCGCATATCAAATCCGTGCACCCTCCTCAGTGTCCCACTTGTTCCATCACCTGCTCCACGTCTCGTGAACTGCGGCGCCATCTCGAAGTCGCCCACGGCGATGTGACTATCGAAGACCGCAAGCTCTTCCCATGTTCGATCCCGGGCTGTGACCGCAGCTTCACCAAGAAGGGTAACCTTACTGTGCACATCCGGACGGTCCACGAAGGCGAGCGGCGGTTCGTATGCGGCGAGACTGACCTCTCGGCCTCCAAGAAGGTCCTCGGCTGGAATGACGCTGACGGCTGCGGAAAACGCTACGGCAGCAAGCTCGCCCTCGAAGAGCACATCCGCACCGCCCACCTTGGCTTCCAGAATGCCAAAGCGGAGCGTCGACAACGTCTCGGCCTCGGTAGCAAGGGGCAGCAACACCAGAATGCCTCGCAACCGGGGCTTTCCGCATTAGCCGCTCTCACGGGCGAAGGCTACGCCGAAGAATCAGGCCGCCACATCACCTGTCTCGTCGAGTCTTGTCCCCATCGCTTCCTCCGCAACTACGACCTGTGGATACACATGGGCAGTAAGCACGGTCTTCTCGAGGACGAAATCCGAGATTTGTTCATGAAGCGCGCGCTCCTGACAGATTCGACCACCTCCTTGGACGCCCAAAACAACAACGACCCTCTTCTGCTTCTCTCCGACAACATGCCCGGGATCTACGGTCTCGAGTTCGACCACGACGACCCTTCCTATTCTTCCTATGACCCATACACCCTAGACGCGGCCTCCGCTCCCTCCCTGTCTGTCGATCCCTACGCAGACCTCAACTCAGCCGACCTACCCGTCAAACCGGAACTCAGCTCTGATTTAATGATGCAAGATTTCAGTTCTAAGATACCCAATGCCGACGACCTGGCGATGATTGATCCTTTGTTGGCGTACAATTTGATGGACAATGCATAAACACATACACGCAATACCCAATACTTTCCCCTTTCTGATCTTTTGAGTCAAAAGCTGTGATGATAATGATGAATAATTTCGGGATTAATATTTGTTCTTTAGCACATGCGAATTTACAATAAGCCTTGAGCGAGTTGCTGTTCTATCTCTGATTTACCTCTAGTTCTATGCATCTAAATAGAATGGTGAACTGTTCTATACAACTGGAACATGAGGACCCGTGGCATCGACGCATGAAATGACCGCTTTTGTTGCCAGAAACGTAAAGTCTAAAGAGTACAGATACAATATGACGGTTGCCCCTGCCTCCCTCCGCGGTTTTCCCATGTCTTCGTGAATAGATCTCTTCCGCAGTTCTTGACTCTTTATACAAATTATTATTACTATTTTTGAACAAGTAGATTAATACTTATGATGATAGGTCTTACAACGATCATATATGTTTCTTCATTTTATATCGCTGTTATCAATTTCCCCTGCGATATAAGTATCCAATCATCTACCATGGCCACGAAGGCTATAGATTACTGTACATCTGTTCAGGCCATCGTGTATCTGAACGCTTCTACCGCAGCTCATACAGACAAATGAAAGTAATAAGATACCAACAGTGGCAACTAGCAAAGGTAAAGAAAAGTCTACGAAGCAGGGCTGATCAGATCCAATTAATAATAAAAAGTATGCCTCGTTCTTCTATTTAGGAACTTTGATAACCCTTGTTATATCGGCCCCGGATAGGAAATGTAATTTTTGAATATAAGTATGCACTCAATGCGCCGTTAGGGGCGGTGCAGTGGCCTGGTGTCTATACCCCTGCAAGCTTAAGTACTAATTCTCACTAGATGACTGATCCCGCCCCTCTCATCTCTTCTTCTTCTTCTCACCTGCCATTCTTCTCCTATCTCATCGAGGCCTCGCCTAAATCAGACCAGGAAGCAATTGATACAAGAATGGAGACCGATGGGGAGAAAATGGAGGGGGACCGTGCAACCTTGAAGCGAAGTAGTGCGTTCACTTTCTTTTTACTTGCACAATGGGAGTGTATATTTAGAAAGTCGAAGCATACTGACATATCTTCCACGGCTAGGGGCGGACTTCGAAGGCCCTGAATTGACAGATGATCGCTCTGAAGACAGTGAATTCGATGACTCCGAGGAAGAAGAATGGCGGAAGGAAGATGAGAGCGAAGAGGAGGTCGAAGATCTGGGTCGCGAAGAACAGGACACTGAAGAGCATGAGTATACTATCCCCGGAGACACAGCACGAACGGTGAAGATTCGGCTCTTTGTGGCCGACGGAGGGATATTCCAGTCCAGGTGGACGAAAACCTTTGTCGCCGAATGCACTTGCGATGGCGTCGCTGTCGCCACCGCTCTAGCCCGGTATATTCGTCGAAATGTTATGCGTGAATTTCGGGAGGAGATGGAACAGGCCAGCGAGGAAGCGTGCGATGTGGCCTTCCACGTCTTCGACCGTTATGGAACAATCAAGACCAAGTATAAGGACCATCCAGTGCAAAGAGGAACTGGTGTATGGGGAAACGAGCTTGATCACGGCCCTCTTTTCCTGATTGAAGACCTTCATGTTACAGCGCTAGAGCTACGCCGGAAAGGGCTGGGGCAGAAAGTAGCGGCTTTGATGTTGGAGAAAGCCAAACAGCTCTGCTTAGACAGCATGGGAGATGGCGCACACGCAGATCATTTCTACGGTTCTAAGGAGGCCTTTGAGCGAGCATGGACTCTACATGCTTTGGCCAGCCCCGGACCACTGACAGCTGATATCGAACCGCAGTTAGTGGGCAAGTCCGCAGAAGAACGCTTGACGACACGGATCCGAGTTCAATCTGGTGTTACTGATTTTTGGCGATCATGCGGTTTTCGTCGAATCGGCGCGTCTCGCTGTTTGGCATTTTCGTTCAATCTTCAGCATCAGTCTCGCACCCTTAACGCAACTTCTGATTTCGACCCGCGTAGGAGCCACGCTGAGAATCTTGAGAATGAAGAACTCAAAGTTATTCATGAGGCAGATCATCTTATGGATGTCGAAAAACTTAAATTGGAAAGACTTCGTGGCGCGTTGCCGCTGCATCATGCAGCTCTCACTCTGGCAGACGAAGAACTCAAAGCTTTTTTCGTCACTCATGCTGACGATGAGGCTGATTGGTGTCGAGTGACCAACTCTGAAGCCACGCTTCTACATCTAACAGCTTGTGAGCTCAAGCCACTGAGTACGCGGTGGCTACTTGAGAATGTCCACCACGCTGAGTCCTGGAAGACGGTTCGTGATATTAACGGGTACACGCCACTCGAAGCATTGCAGGAACATTTAGAGACAATGCGAACACAAAAGCAGTATGGTTTCTCAAGGGTTTTGGACCTATCAGACTATTTTGATGGGTATCCCGACTCCGCAGTATCCTGTCTCTTCTTGCTGTCCGGACGGGATCCTTCCGTGCTTAATGACGCATACCTTCGATATGGGTGTACGTGCGGAGACTGTCTGGCAGGGTTTCTATCCGCCCGAATGAGGTGTTCTTTGGTGTTTCATGGAGAGTTTATGTACGACTTTCTCCAGGAGGGAATTGATGATGGGGCCTTTTGGGTAGAGGCCAACGACCACATCCTCGTGCACCTCGATCCCGATGTGCGAAAGAACCTCAAAACCAACAAGTCGCTTCGAAAAGGCTTTATGACTCTTTTCCAGATTGCCGTGGAATGTCTCAATGCGAAAAGAATCCCAACCGCAAAAAATCTCGTATGGTACTGTTACAATCGGAGCGAGTGGCCACCGCATACCAAGCGCTATCTGCGACACGCTGGGTGGCAGATGGGCTGTCGGGCAGTGCTTCGATACATGTTCGACGCTGCTATAACAGAAGATGAGAAATCAGGTGATGGAGAATGTCAACTCACATTGAAGGAGAAATGGTCAGATCTACCAACTTGCAGGAACGACCATGAGTTTGAATTTGTTGCCAGAGGTTGTGGTTACGTTGCGGATGATCTTATTTCGTTACCATCCTGGTATCTTGATTGTTTTTCATAATATATAAGAGCAGCAACGGATTTCCGACCATGTCGAGAATACGGGCTCAAAGTACAGCTAAGGATGACAATAGGTGACAATGAAAGGACCCAAGGGGTAGCAGGTGTGCTAAGCAGCCGCTGGTTCTAGGACCGAGGCAGCTCCTTTTAATACAGATCTCAAATTCCTCGGCCAATTTCTCATTTTCGCTAAAGAGAACAGAAGAGGAAGGTTTACTTCTACTGATAACAACCAATGCTCTCACGATAGTAGCCTTGGAAAGCGAAGGAGCACGATGGAATAGACCAACATTTATAGACACGGTAGATAGATCATAAGAGTTCACACTTTCAATAAATCCACATTTTCATGAAATGAAATGGAAGTAGATTCCCCATCATCCATGCTGTGTCTGTATCGCATGCAAAAAGCCCGGTATCTAACAGAACGACACTACTTAGCGATAACAAGACGGCCAACAACCCTATTAGGTAGGTAGCGAGATTGATTAGTCGTTATGGAAAATCAAACGGCAAGGGGGTGATCTGGCATGAAGGAGCCAATGAAGACAGAGAGGGTGAGATAACAACTAAACACAAGATGATTTTGTGAGAAGGAAGTATGTAAGTACTATGTTATAGCCAAATGCTTGCTCTTGTTCATTGAGTGAAGATTGTGCATCCTTAAAGACTAAGTACCCTGACTGACTGACTGACGGAATTCTTCTTTCATTTAACCAGAGAGAATCGCCGTGAGATTCCCTTTGAGCCGTCTGTGGACAGTCCACTACTCTCTGGAGAGGTATGAGATGAGGAGGGGGGAGTGTCGATATGTCCACAGACAAAGAGAAAGAAAAGAGATAGCAACGAAACATACCATTGCCACCAGACCCAATGTAATCATAGTCGAGATTGACCGCATTCTCAAAGTTACCCAATGGTATAGATCGGCCTATGTTCCAACGGCGATCAATCTCTTTTCTAACGTTTTTTCATATCTTTTGGGCGTTCGATGTGGAGCATTTATTCATGAGCGGAGAATGTGTTTGAGAAATGAAAAGAAAAAGGCAGTCGCAAGAGAGTATTACTCAAACGTTGGTATCATTTGAAGGGTCCCGAGATCAGCATAGCCATTGATGCTCAATTGTCCCTAATTTTGCTCATTGCGCAGGTCCTCGTCAGTGTCCGGAACATCGGTGTGTCGTGAGGGCCAAGGTGTCTTGTCTCGAAAGCCAGTAGTGGACCGAGACCTTGGAATCACACGATGGGGCGCTACCGTACTTTCCTGCAGTAAAAAGAGAATCTTTGATTAGCCAGATATACTTTGGAGAAGTATCAAGGAAAACTTGGAGGGTTGTGATATACCTCATATGCCGAAGAACCCCGATTCACGTAGGCAGCAGCAGTCCTGGGCCAACTAGCAGACCCCGGACGGATCCTCAGGGGTGCTTGACCGTCTTTGCTTGAGGAAGGAGTAGGACTGAAAGGTGGTGCTTCCTTCTTCTTGTCCAGAAGAGATGGACGTTCAGTCAAACTGGCCATCAAAGTGCGGTTTACTTTCTGCACATCCTTGAAGTAGCCAGGGTTCCATTTGGCCATGAGACTATTGCTGTAGGAAAATGGGGCGTCGGTATTGGACCGAACTCCATCGTTGGCTCTAATCTGGGTCAGACGTCTCAGGAAATTGATATAAGCTTTGTTGGCCTCTTTAGAAGGCTCGTGGGATGTGAAAAGCCGAGCGACATCGCAAAAGAGATGGACAGCAGCCAGTCCTCGTGCCATAGCCAACCAAAGCGCAATCTTGACCAACATGTTGAAAAACTTCTCGTTGCCTCTGTGAGCTGGCCAGACCACGAGATCGCCTTCGTCTGCCATTTTCGTAGATGGACGAGGTATTTTGGTTGTAGTCGGTGGAAGCCATCCTTCCTCACGCGCCTTCTCCGGCCGATTATTGATGAGATCGTTCCTATAGAAATGATAGAACTTTGTCAGCTCGAGTTCTGCATGAGCATAACCGCCCCACTTGAGTGACGCTTTGCAGGCTTCAATGCGAACTTCCTTCATGCTCATCATTGAGCTCCGGGGATTAGACACAGGAAGGGTACTGTAGCAGCTTCCTAGCCAGTAGTTAGTACCTCCTAAAAACCACTTTCCACGCTCTCCAGGCCAATGAAAAACTTACTATCTTCTGTGTCTCTCTCGAGCGCCTCCAGAACGTCTAACTTGAACTCTTCTATGACCCTCACAGCTGCTTCCAGTTGCTCGCAGACGCTGGCAGAATAGACACTCCTAGTGTTCATCCAGTAGATCGGGGTCTTCGGCTCCCCTCGCAGAGGTTCCAACAGTTTTCTCAGCACCTGAAGCTCCGTCAAAAAGTAACTCTCATCCGCCGTTCCGGTGCCGATTGGCGAAGCACCTATGAGCTGCGGGTAGCGCTTGCGGAGCCATTCTCGCAGCTTACACTGAATCTTGTCCACGTTGTTGGATTCCTCCAGAAGAATCACAAGAAGTTGCTCATAGGAGCCTGGGAGCACATTCTTGACTAATTCTGGAAGTTCCGCCATAAGCTCAGCCCTGAACGTGCTTGGGTCGAATCCTCTAGTGAACTCGGCCATCAGGAAATCTACCTTGCGACTCTGGTGCGTGTCGATCCCGTTGGCAGCCTTTTCGGGGATTTCGTGGAACGCGGTGTCTTCATTGCCGACGGGGATGTCAATAGCATAAGGGATTTTTCTCCAGTCGGAGGGACTCGTTGGCGGGGTGGACGAAGATGGAGTCGACAATAGAGGAGTACGCGATGGAGCGGTGAGCGAGAGGTCGGAGATGTCCATGTTGAGAGCTCAAACAAAATACGTTTCTCTTTCAATTGGCATACAAAGGAACTCCTGGGACTATCACCAAAATAACAAGAGAAATGACCAGTACAAAGAATAGACACTGAAGATGAAGACGCAAGAGGACAAGTGAATGGAAATCTGTATGTGGTGGTGACTTTTTACCAGGAAATGGTTTCAATTGCTGGATCGATCTGCTTGTAGATGTGGAAGTTGAAGAAGAGAGTTGTAGAGATGTAGGAAGAAAAGAGAAATGGGGGATGGGGGATGGGAGATGCCTGGTGATATAGGAGCCTTGACAGCTTGAGTGAATATACCAAGTATGAGTGTGAGCCTGAGGAACGCAAACGACATCATCCGTTTAGATAATGGAAAGTATCAGAAAACCCCATATCCACAACACAACCATTCTCTGGTGTACTATACTGCTATGTTCACTTGGCTTGGCAACAGGACTCATACTGATGAGCCTTGAGATTTTTTCAACATCTTGCTCATTTTATTAGTTCACAAACCAATGGGGCGCTACCTTATGCTACATCCATAGTTTATATGTTGTGATTCTAGTAGAGTGAGGAAGCCTTGAAGTCACAAGTAATAATGTGCATGGAACAGATTGAAGGGCTTAGTAATTGATAGAGGAGATTGCCTTGAAGACACTTTAAACTGGCAATCATCATACTAGCTTCGCTCATTAGACTTGATACTATCACTGTGCAGATTTTATGCATAGGCTTTGCCAGAAATAAACACGACGCAACCAAACGCGTCTCTCTTCACAATTTATGTAATTCTTCCTAGATAACTTAAGCTTAAGACAACTTGACATGTGGATAAGCTGTGTTTTTATACTGTGATCGGCAACTTGTGTTGAGATATCAGGTACTGCAAGGACTGACCCCAGACGGTCAACCTGATACCTGGAATTTCTACAACTTGCATCCGAGGTTTAGCTAATAAATATTGCTGATGGAATGGAAGTCTGGAAAGATAATCAACCCTAGCCCGTGCGTATATCTTTTCTACTTGAAGTTAAATACTCTAAAGGCCGACCGCTTTACTACGAAGTATGCAGGGCCTAGTTTAAAGTTAGAAGACACCAGCCAGCCTTTCTAGTACCATTCTGTCTTTTGAGCCTCTTAGATGCAAGATATAAATAACCACGCCACGAAAAGATAATCTTCACCAGACGACGATAGATCAATGGTAGGAATCGGCACGCAAGGACCAACACACATGGACCTACATTCTTCAACAAGACGAGCTAGCATTGAGTCCGATCCAATTGCACAGCCCCAAATACGATGAACGCATCAATCACGACCATCAGGAGGTCTTGGCAGGGACAAGAAGCGATCTACAGAAAGTGGACTAACTAGTGGATAACCTCTGAGCTGGGCTGGAGGAATCTCCAATACGAGCTAGGCAAGCCGCAATGTGAATCCGCCCAGTTCGTATGCCGGATGGGGACATAGGGCTTCACTACTGCCTTCCCATGTTGATTTAGATTTTAGACAGGGCTAGCCTGGGTGGGTCCGACAAGTGTGACTGCGTCACTGGCAAAGAGTTTGCGTATACGAACTGTGGATGTAGGTAGAGTGAATTGCTGCGGAGTGCTGCAGGAGTGACATGTGGGTTGTCTTGAAGAAGCTCAGGGCTGCGGAGATGAATTAGGGAGGGAGTGTCTTTAGGAGAATTACCCTTTCTTTTGCTGAATGGCGGCAAGATCGTAGCAATTCCCTTGGCTGTCTACTTCACCCAGTAGGAATTGCGACAGTGATGATCTGAAGGAAATAGCGAGGAATTGCCAGCTATTCCCCGGGGTTCTCAGTCTCAGAGCTGGAGGAGTATTTGTATATGCAGCCTAACACCTGTCAGTATTGGATGCCCTGTACTTATTCTTGTTTCAATAAGATCCAGAAAGGTACATTCAAAGATCAATATTTTACTGAGTACATCAACAACCTATCGGTGTATATTGTACTGAGTACTCCGTATGATAGGACGTACTCTAGTGGGTCAGTCAGCGACGATCCCAGAATCAGATAAACTTCAGGAATTGGCTGTTTTACCTTGTTTCACCGGCCGTGAAGCTGGGCGGATGTCGTGTCCCAATAATATCCGACTGAGACCGTGCACCCTCACTGCGCCTGCAAAAAGCCAGGAATGGGCCACTTCCCCCGACAAGGTGGCTTGATGGAATGGATGGAATGGAATGGATTGCAACGTGGTTAAGAAGTCGAAACAAGGCAATCAACCCACCGCTGAGGTCATAAGTGCAGGGAAAGGATCCGGTTCAGCAATGATCGCTGTAAGGGTGCGCGTCAGCCCCCCCCCCGAGTCTGGCTGGTTCGGGATTGGAAGCTCCGCAATTTAGACTCTACTAGGGGAGAAAACTGGGAGATTCGTGGCTCTCGCATCGGTGAAGCTGGATCCTTTCATATGCTCTTTGGGTGATAATTAACCGTGAATGTCTTATCTATTTGGGTCTTTCCTTCTTTGTTCATATATCGAGTAGCTACTTGTACAGGGAAAGTTTTAAATTGATGTCTCTTCGCAGTTGTATCAAATAGTATGACCACTATCATAAAATCCAAAAAAAATCAACCGACCCACGGGGGGGTCGAACCCCCAATCTTTGCTTCACGGCCATAGTAGGAGAGCAACGCGTTACCATTACGCCAGCGGGCCAATTTGGCCTCGTCGAGGCGTTTTAATAATTCATTAATGACTCCGAGCGGTCCTTCAAAGGTTCGTCGCGTGACTTTCTGCCATCTTGGTTTCTGAGGCATAAAAGGAAGAGTCTGCTTCACGAATGACCGGGAATACTCCCAGTGATGCCATCACTCGAGATCGCTGACAGTGACAGCGGTAATAACTAATGCTATTTCCAGGAATTGGTCATGACACGGACTGACGAACCCCTCATTTTCACCGGGATGTGCCATGTCATGTTTTGAGTACCAAGGAAAGGCCAAGGAGTCGGCGAGTCTGATAGCCTACACTGTGTACGTGCAAACCGCGGCAAGACACCAGGCTCCAGTCTATCTATTATCTACAAGACGAGCACTCCGTCCTCACGCGAGACATATGTCGGTGGCTGGATGGCAGCCCTGGCAGGAATGGTGGTGAGAGCGAGCGCCATCGGAGGCAAAATGACACCCGCCGCTTCAGACCCGACTGGATCGGCTTGGCCTCCACGGCGCCCATGGAATGCAGCCAGGGACATTTTTAGCTACCGATCTTATGCACCTTGGGGGCCGCATCGTGATTCTTCCGGCAGGTTCCCCAGTCCCCTCGGCGATACAATTTGGTAAATCCCTGTGCGATTTTCCTGATTGTCGCCGGGGGGTGCGGGTACTGGACATGAATCTTATGTACTTAGTGTCTATTACTCGATTTTAAGTCGCTTTTACGTTTAGATTGCATGATGAGGGGGCAGCATGTTTGGGCATACACCGTACATCGGTCATCCCCGCAATCCTTTTGACCCGCGACGATTCAGAATCTGGAGGACCAACAAATTTTTGGGCTCAGCTGGTATTAATCTTTGTTAGATTTTCCTCTTTTCCCTTTTATTATGTTTGATTTGATAAACTCATCATCATTCACCGAATTGTCCAAAAGGGCGAAATTAATATTCTTCGTGATCGATGTAGCTGTGGCACGGGGTCGCAGAGTGTGGCTGTACCCCCGATTAACCCTCTCCGTGAAATTGGCCACTCGGGTCCCTACGGTTGCTGGGGATAATCACGACGATTATTTCAAAAAGGTAAGACTACTAAAGCATGTCGCATGCACTAGTGTCGTTCTACATTAACGGTCACCGTTTGGTGGTTCAATCATGCTTGGCGCCCAGATTGTCTCGCCCTGGCCTCGTGGAAGAGATAGGAGAGAAAAGAAAAATAAGATAAAACAAAACCAAACAGGGTAGGACAGAAGTCAAAAGGGCAGCCAGACAAAGGAAATGGCGGGTAGAAGACGAAGAAGAAGAATATTGAATGACAATTATGGATGGGAAGGCAAGGAAAGGGGGACGGCAATCAAGTAAGACATGCAGGACTGGATGCCAACAGGCTACTATATTTGGCCCATGCGGATGGACAATAAGAGAAAATCATTCATTTGCAGCTTGCAATCAGCAATCACCACCAATTATTATTCATTCATCCTTATTCAAAGGCGGCAATTAATACGATCGGTTACGCCGCCCTTCGCTAGTCCAGCGTAGGCTTTACTCCGTATAGTCGGAGTGTTCCATACGGTGGCCATCAGGGACTACGTACTCCGTACTTATCAGGAGACAGATCTGTTGGAATAATGGATACTGGAGGAGCCGGTCTATTTAAACTAATGGAAATGATTATCCCCGGAGATCATCACAATCATATTATGAAGGAAAGATAGTATGGGTCGATCTCTGGTCAGAGAAACGGAAGAAAAGAAAACGAGGAAAAGAATAAATAAAATCAAATACAAAATGGAAAAAAAAAAAAAAGAAAAGAAAAGAAAAAGGGAGGCCGATGACGCCAGCCTCTCCGAACCAAAGAAGAAAAAAGAAAAAAGAAAAAAAAAAAAAGAAAAAGGCCAGAACCACTTGGCCAGTACGGTAAAGCGCACGTATTACCTCATGTCTTCCTCTGGATACTTTTTAGTTAAGGAACTGTACGGAGTACCTAGGTAGTTAACTGACAATTCCTTGATCCTCACGTCTTTCCTCGCTTGAACCTTGGCTTCTCTTCTCTCTTCCTCTTCCTCTTCCTCTCCATCTCTCTCCATCTCTATCCCGATATCCCACATTCGACGTACATGACCTGCGACGGCATTTCCAGTATCATAAAAACCCTTTAGGTGTTACAGCTTCACCTCCAGACCCACGTCTGGCCGTGTACACTACGGACTACGGAGTAGGTCTACTACTGTTTCCCTTTCTTCTTGCTTTGCCTCCGTCATCTCTTTTCATCCGCTTTCCTCATCTGCCATTTCCCTTTTCTGCCTTTCATCTTCTGCGCACTTCTGTCCCACTCTCGGTTTCGCTCTTTTTTCCTTTCGCGCTTCCTCCCCTCTTTTCTTGAACCAACTCGTTGGCCTTCCGCCATCCGTCCATCGGCATCCGCTAACTGAGACATCAGTTCGTCCTAGTGACCCATTTCGAAAGTCAGGCGCTTGGAATCTGACCTCGCGCCAACCTCCGTCACTTGGCAATTCGCTTTCGCCTGACTCCTTCTTCCTTTCTCTTTATAGGAATTTCCTTTATCTCCTTCGATTTGATCTTTTCTCCGGCGACGTTCTGAGTGCACCCTTTGCCCCGCAGGGACTCCATGGACTCAAGTTTCTAGTTCCTATACCGAACCTTGGCGGGTCCTGACACATTGTCGTTATCTCCGTGCGGAGGCAACGGATTCATTATTACCTTTTCGCCTCTCCTTTCTCTTGCAGCCGATTAACTTGGTTCCTCCTTTCGCTCGCTTACATCGGCTTTCTGTTCGCCGTGCGCCAATTTGTGTTCTGGGAGTCGGATCTACAACCCTGGGTCAGAAGACGAAATCTAAGACATCATGGTTCGCTCGCGTGGTAAGCGATGAATTTTCATCCCTGTTGTATCATCTGGACTCTAATGGTGGCCCTCCTTGCTTTTCCAGTGCTCTCTTTTATCTCGGCATTCGGTGGCCCATCGCGCAAAGATACCTCCGGGAAACACAACCGAACATCATCGGCCTCCTTTACCCTCAATACCTCTTCTCCTTCCCGAGTAGAGACATCCTCTACAGATACGCCAACCCCTCCCGATGCCTCACCAACGGGAGTCACCACCATCGGGGAGCGCCGCGCATCAAGGCCGGGGTCAGCCCTCTTCTCCCATGATCCCCCATTTATGGAGCTGTCGGGGGACACGCCCGCAGAGTTACAGCCGATATTCAACTACCTCAATAGCCATGCGAACAAGCTGTACCATGAAGGGTATTTCTTGAAACTGAATGACCTGGACAATCGTACGTGCTCGGCGAATAGATCGGCAGAACTAGGATAGAGACTAACTTGCAATATAGATGGCCGACCATGCGCCGATCGCCAGTGGGTAGAATGCTACGCGCAGCTCGTGGGGACCGCCCTCTCCCTATGGGATGCTGCTGCGCTGGACGCAGCAGGGGAAGAGGGAGACGTCGCGCCGACTTTCATCAATTTGGCAGATGCGTCAATCAAGATGGTAAGTATCGACAATTCTCTGCGGATGTGCGGATGTGCGGATGTGCGGTTGTCATCAATGGCCATGACTGACGATCTGATATAGATTGAGACGTTACCAACTCGAAACCAAGCCACCCCGGCTTTAAAGAATGTGCTGAGTATTTGTTCTGCTGGTCAGAACCGATATCTCTTACATTTCAACTCATTCCATTCGCTTACACAGTGGACGGCTGCGATCCGTCTATCCTTGTTCGAGCACACGTCCCTGTACGAGGCATATACCGGTTCAATTATCGCTGGCAAAGGCAAACACCTTAACAATATCCGATCAATTCTCGAGCGAAGTCGATTCAAGCACGAGGACTGGGCTCGAGTTCGGTTCGGCGCCGGTACGCCGTGGAGACGATGCTGGTTTGTGGTTACGCCCCCGAATGAGAAGGAGTTCCAGAAGGCCCAGAAATCGCTCAAGAAGAAGTCCGCATATGACAGAGCGCCTAAACTGGTATTGGGAGACATCAAGTTCTACGAAACAAAGAAGACGAAGAAGGTCAAACCGATAGCGACGATTACCAATGCCTATAGTGCCTATGCGATTTACCCTCAGTCTAAACCACTGATCGACCAATCGACTTTGGTCAAGATCGAAGGAACTGTCACTATCCACACGCAACCCGAATCAACATCCGAGGGATTCGTATTTGTCATGCCGGAGGCTCATCCGGCTGTTCCTGGATTTGAGATGATGATCAGGTTCCTCATCCCGACGTTTGACACCTTCAATCTTTACGGTCGGCCGACACGTCTGATTGCGGCCACCAACCACATCAAGAGCATCATGTTCGCCTTCCCCAATGAACGTCGCTACGGATATCTGGACATACTTGATATTGCGGGCTTGATGCAGACTCCTGGCAGTCAGAACTGGACTGAAGCGGAATGGAGACAGCAGCTCAAGGAGGCCACTTCACGCAGAATGGCAGCCGGCGGTAGTAGAACCAGCAGCATGTCTGGCAGCAAGCCGCGTTTCCGCTCCAGTCTCCCCAACCGCTACAGCCATGTGCCCGGCGGACCGTCTCAGCGAAGCAATGCCACCTACCCTGATCGCCAGGCTGGTTTCAATCAGTCCACCGATGCTATTGTCCGCGAAGAGCCGGCGGATGAGTCTTTCTCTCCCGCCCTGCATTCGCGGGTCAATTCAGACATCACCGGCATGTCTCCCCTCAAGAAGCCCCCGCAGGCGTCCTTCGCCGAAAGCTCGCCGTCGTCATCTGCTCAAGATATCGCGCAGCAGGGCAAAGAGCGGCCTGGCAATGGCGATTTCAATGACCAGAGCAGCTCCGAAAGCGACTCCAAGCAGCAACAGCCGGACCCTCAAGCTGAGGCGATTGGACAACAGTTTCGGTCCCCTTCCCCGCCTTCCCCCGTCGTTATCCCGCCTGCTTTTACGCATGGACCCGGAGAGATGCCGTCAACACGACCACAGCCTTCACCCGACCTGAAGAAGGCAAACCGAATGTCGAACGCTACGCTTACCCAGTTGGTCGCCGCCTCCGGGAACAAAAACCTGCTACGTACCGACTCGCCGGCGGGGAGCCAGGGATCGGGATCGGCGTATTCCCATGAACCAAGTCCGCAACAGACGGTTCCCGACAGTCCTTATTTCTCAAACGAGGAGCAGATTGACCTGGGCCCCATTATCTTCGACTCTCCGGCAGCACGCGTGAATCGGACTTACTCCGGCAGGGCCAACGGTCCCAACTTCATTCAACTCAGCAAGAGCACGAGGAGAAAGCCTTTGCCCTCCCAACAAAACAAGGATCTCAACATTCCCAGCCCCGTGGGCGAGCCCAGCTTTGACGATCTGCGCCACACGATGGATGAGGACGCATTCAATAGAATTGGCGCTAACCCATCGCTGCCTTCGCCTGATAAGGACACCCATCAGGATGAAGAAAGTGTTTACGACGATGCCTCCACGACCTCCCCCGATTATGCGAGCACTCGTGGCTCCGTCTACAGCAAACGTTCAGTCAGATCAGCAGCTCGACCAAGAATGGGCGTCATGAAGACCGTCGGAACGGCGCCATCCAAGGATGTAGTCATCGGCGATGCTCATTATTCCCTTGACAAGCCACTAAAAGGAAACCCGGACATCCCTTCGATCGACTTCGGGCCAACGCTCACTTATTTGCCCACCACCGGGCGTCCGACCACCTCAGACACGCTGAAGAATTGGACTCACCAGAGAAGTGATTCTGACGCCACGGAAAGACAGCGCATTTCTGTCCCCACACATCCGATGGATCGCGCTCACTCTCGATCGCCCAGCCAGGATGAATTCCGACGAAGCGTTCTGTGGCAACCCGGCATGGCCGGTGCACGTCCAACCACACCGGGAGGCGGGCTTTCAGCTGAACAATTCGTGCAACAGCGGGCGGCACCTAGCCCGCCAGTCCACATGCACCACCGAAACTCTTCTACGTCACCGCCGCCAGTGCGACCCGTATCCGGTGACTGGACGGGTCATTCTCGATCCCAGTCTCAAATGAATATGGGACGAGACGGTCCGCCGCCTCGCCCCCATTCTCGTGGAGCCAACAGCATGATGAATATGAATGATATCTCGTCTCACCTGTCAGCTCGCGAGCAGGAGCACGTCGCTCGCATGACTGGTTCGTCATTCTTCAACATTTCCACCGAAAAGAAGAAGCACGAGCCTCAGGTCAACCCCATGGGCCTGGTTGGCGCGATTGATGCGAGGGAGAGGGAGAAGAAGGGTATCATGGAGGGTATGTCGAACCAGATGGTGCAACATGCTATTGCCCAGCGCCAGCATCACTTCCAGCACCAGCAACCGGCGCCGACACCCCAGCCTAACCCTTACGAAACCCCCAACGCTCGCCACAGCGTCTACAATATTCCCACCGCAAGCCGCACCTGGGATGCTCTGAACCAGCCCTATCGACCCGAAGAGCCACGTCGTCAGTCTTGGTACGGTCAGCTGGGTGCTGCTCAGCAACCACCGGCGTACCAGCAAAGCCAGCTTTTCAGTCAGCATCCCGGCCACTACGGCAACACCAACGCAATGCATTATTGATCTATGCTTCCTTCATTTCTCTTTTTTGATCCGTCTTCATCTTTTATTGTGCAGATCATGTCACTGACTTCCATTCCCTCTGATCTTTTCATTTTGGTATCTCCTGTGTTTTAGCTTTTCATCTCGTGTAACGGCCATTCCTTGATATTTCTTTTCTTTTCCTTTGAATTTTTTCCAAGCTTCATATGGCGGCGCATCTTAGATCTAGAATACCAGATCTTCGCATCTGGAAACAAACGTCAGTTGCTGTTCATTCCCTTCTCGATGCATCGCACATCAAATGGAGTTGCAAGAATAGGTCTGGCGTTCTAGGTTATTGCTTGCTTGTTCTTTTTCTTTTCTTTGTTTCCTGCCTCTTTTGCTCTCTTTCTTTACTTTGTCATTGGTGCGGGTCCTACGGGATAAACTTTTCTTTTTCTTTTTCTTCTCGCCAGCTCTATGCATGTACATACAGGCGCACCTTGCTTACTGAGATTCTGAGTGCAGAATGCAAATATTGCATGGTGAATCTTGATCATTTCCTTAACTCCCTCATAGGTGGGCATAAATGCCAGAGTACTATTCTAGGAAGACAGTGGTTGCTTGTGAAGTTTGGCAAAATATGAAGACCCAAGATGTAGATTTGTAGATTTATAGATTTGAAGGATACCTATGATATGAATGCGCCAGAGACATCGCGACACGACCAAAATAAGAAGCTTGTAGACCGAAACGCCGTGGCTACTCTTAACCTTTCCCACTCTCACTTACTGCTTTCTCATCTGTGATCCCGGAGTTTTCTACTCCTTCGGGTGCTGATGCCTGCAACTTCTTCACAGTATTTGTCCTCTCTCTCTCCCCCGTTCTCTCTAGTTAGATATTCTGTTTTCTGGTTTTCTTTTTGGTTGTAGATCAGGTATGTGGTGATGGAAAGGGTTTACTTCAATGGCCGAAACTAATCTCCTGTTTAATGGGAGTGAAGCTTCTTCACACGGAGAGCACCTTCGTACAGACCACGGTCCACGGCGGCCGCAACGGTAAGGGTACCACCGATGATGGCGCAAACGCCGGTCAAGAAGCCAGTGAAGGTCTTAGGCCGAGCCTCGCGGTTGATGACTTTCATGGGGGAGATATCGTAGTTGAAGAAGACGCCGGGGATGCCGTTGGACGCGTGCAGACGTTCCTTGTGGCCCTCGTCGGCCGCGTTGCCGCCCATCAGGGACCGCTTGTGCGACGTCACAGAGTACTGGTGGGTTTCGATGCTGCCCTGGCTGCCGTATCCGAAGCCGTGCGTGCCAAGGGGGGCTTGCTCGTTGGTGTTGTGCGCGTCCATGGAGGCCAGTGGATCCCAGCCTAGCGGGAGATACGACGTCGAGACCACCTTGACGAAGTACATGTAGTTGTACGCGGGCTGGTCGGTGTCCTGGCGCGTCTCGTCCAGCGGGTTTGTGTGGTGGTGGTCGGTCCATTGCCAGCGGTCCGAGAGCTCGTCGGGCAGCTGGGGCCCGAACCGCAGCTGGTGGATGAGATGCGTCATCGTGTGCTTCTCCGCGTCGGGTAGGTCGGCTTCGAAGTAGTTCTCGAGGTCGTGCACGTGGATGTTTCCGCTCGTGAAGCTGCGGCCGGGCGCGATGTGGAAGTTCCCGACAACCTTGTTCACGCGGACCACGCCCTCTAGTCGGCAGCCTTCGCGGCGCTGTGCCTCGATTCGTTGCGCGTACCCCTCGCGCTCGCACTGTTCGATGTTCTCGCCCTTGCCGAATGCCCATTGGTGTTGTGCGTAGGCTTCGCGCACTTCCTCGCAGGTGTTGCAGCAGTGTTTGTCGTTGGCGTCTTGGGGCACGCCGCCGCAGTCGCCGCAGTAGTTCGGGTCGAGGTGTTTGGCTTTTTCTTGCTCCGAGTGGCTAGAGAGACATTAATCGCGGTGGGAGGGGGCAAAGGGATATCGAGAAGTAGCGTACAGTTCTAGAGCCTGAATGTCCAGGACCTTGCCGCCGTCAGCTTGCGAGCTCAGGCGCACTTTGTTCACACCGTGCACAACGCCGACTTGCTGTTCACCAGAGACATCCATCACATCGAGGGTGAGGAGTTCGCACGGAAGTCGAGGGAAGGTCATGTTCAAGTGGATTTCCATCTTTTCTCCTGTTCATAGATATCAGCCTTCCGTTCAATGTCCGCAATTCGTCGGTTGCGAGTTGGTGCTGTCCGTACCTCTTGACTTATCAACCACCAGCTCTGGTAGGACCACCACCCGGGTGTACTCTACCCATTCTCCCCAGACCAGCCAGAGGACAACGAGGAGCGACACTAGGGTGATGATGCCGCCGGAGGTCGTACGGATGCGAGCATCCTCGACGGTCTTTGCAAAAGCATCTAGCCTTGTAAATCGCGATTTCGCCGGCATGATTCTATGAACGATTGGCGATCATGCGGCGGGAGAAAAACAAACGGAACAGCGAGAAAGAAAGGAATGGAAGGACCCTGTCGAATCGATGGGAGCCAGCGGGGATGGGAACTGTCTATAGTCGGCATGGAGATCTCCGTCAGTGAACTGTAAATAAAGGCACTAAGGCCTGTTTGTGAGGGGGCCAAGAGGACAACGATCCATTCCAATTGAGGAAGAAAAGAGTCAGCCAACATAAGGAAAGAAAAGTCCACTTACACACGCTGGTTGGAATCACCGAGTCGAAGTCGAGTCGGATTGGATTGTCCTGTCGCCGCAAACTGTCCTGATGGTTCGGGGCGCATAGCATGTACTGTATGTAACGGACTCCACCTCCGTTGCGGGTGTTGGTATCAGTATTACCAACATACGCCAAAGGACAAACAGCAGCCTCTGATTGGCCAATTGCCGCGAATGCCTGACGCGGCATCACGTGATACTGCAAGGCATCCACCGGCAGCCGCGAGGTCAGGTGACTAGCTGCCTGCGACGGATTCACGTCACTTTTTCTGCTTTCGCCCGTTGATTCATCGCAAGTCAAGGCAAGCCTCGCTCTCGGGGTAAAATTTTCTGCTTCTCTCCAGTCAACCCAACCAACACATATTGGTGTCTTTCTTAACTATAAGCATTCTAATCTCTCCTGTTTTCTATCTTCTCGCCTTTTATCCTCCCCTCTTCTCCTGCGTTGCATGTCGACTGAGCCGTCTCTGTACAACTAAGGCGCGCAGCGCTCGGTCCGCCTTGCAAGTTCAAGTCCTGAACAAAATCCGACTTGTCCCATATTCAGCTTAGCCTCCTTATACCCGTGACGAATAACTATACATCTGCGTTCGAAAATGAAGAACGGAAAAGGCTCTCGTGGTCGCGCTGGTGGTTCGGACCGTGGGGGGATTCGCAAGCGGGGTGCGGCCACCAAGGTCGATCGAGATGGAGATCTTTCTATGGATGCAGGATCTGCTCGGAACCGTGGCAAGAAGGCGCGCACGGAAACCGGCCGGTCTGGTGCGGCAGGAGGCGGACGGCCGAGGGCCCTCGATGCGATTCAAAAAGCGATCACCAGCAACTCGGATTCCCAGGCCAACATTCGACAGGGCGGTCGCGCGGCTAGCTTGGAACAGGTCATCGTCCGCGGGTGGAAACAGAGCAAGGCAGCCTCGAATCGCGACGGCGGCCTCGAGAGCCTTCTCACCTTCCTCGAAAAGAAACTCAACACCTCCGACTCGAAATCTGGCCAACGCGCAAGGATAACCAAGGTATGTGCAACACCAGAACTGGCCATCTTACCGACATGAATTCGCAACGTCGTTTCCTCTCCGGTTTGTTCTCGTTTTTTCATCCCAGGATATGGTTACTCCAGGACGACGATCGGCAAATTCTTTTCTTTATTCGGGCTGCAAAAACTTTTAGGCGCTTGTTGCTTTCCCAAGTGACTTGCGCCCCATGGAGGTCTCTTACGCCATACTAACGTTCACTAGTCGCGAATTGAAGGCGATGCCCTTATCGCGTCTATCAAACCGGAGTTGTTGGAAAGAATGCTTCAGCTCGATGGTTTTAGCTTCGCAGGCGCGCCGCTCACGATCGAGAAGCGCGACGAAAACGGGATGACGGACCAGCCCGTGCTATCTGAGATATCACGAAACGCTGGGAACCCTTCCACTGCCGACACCAAATCCAAAATGACCGCTATCCTGGGCAAACGCTACTATCAGCAATCGAAACTACTCGACCTCTCGAAATTGGGTAGCGATCCGGATCTCTTGGCCATGGGAATTTTCAACAGCACTTCCACCGAATCCAAATTCTTCCCGGCTTTAATGAAAGTGTGGGAGCTGAATTTCGACAACTCGACGGCGCGGCGAGAGGCTGTCGAAAGTGTCAGTCTCGCCGACAACCAGCTTGCCAACATCACCGTCGTCACCACTTTGGCTCAGTCCATCCCGGACTTGAAGAACCTTGATCTTTCGAACAACAATTTCAAGGACGCTACGGCTTTGATCGGGTGGCGGTGGAAGTTTCGCAATTTAGAATTCCTCGATCTCACTGGAAATCCTTTCAGCGCAGACCCGTCTTTCAAGGACACCATGCTGAAATGGTATCCAAAACTGCGCGTGCTCAACAATCTGGAGGTGCGAACGGCGGAGGAAGTGGCTGCGCAAAAGAAGACGCCGATCCCCGTTCAACCGCCTCATTTCGTGGACGAGTCCCAAATTGCAGAGAACTTCGTCAAAGCTTTCTTTGCGGGATATGACAACAACCGCAGTGAGATAATCAACAGCGTCTACGACAACCGATCTACTTTTACGCTCAACGTCAACACATCCGCCCCGCGGGCCCAGCAAACCGAAACCGCAGGCTGGGATGCCTACATCAAGAAGAGCAGAAATCTTCTCAAAATCAGCCATCTGCCTGCTCGTATGTCGCGTTCCTTTATGGGGCCTGACAAGATACGCGAGTTATGGGACAGTCTTCCCCAAACCCGACACCCCGACATTGCTGCACACCCGGAACAATGGCTTATCGAGTGCACGCCGATCCCCGGTCTTCCGGATTCAACTGGACAGAGTCCGTTCGGCGTGGGAGGTTTCTTGATCATGGTCCACGGCAAATTCGATGAAATGAACACAGGCAAGGTGGAGACACGGAGTTTCGACAGGACTTTTATTCTTGGACCCGGCGGAGGAATGGGAGGAATCAGGGTCATCAGTGACGTTCTTTGTCTGCGAGCATACGGTGGACACGAGGCATGGGTGCCGGAAGGTCAACCCGCGCCCCCGGCAGCTCCGCCAGTCCAGCCAGTCCAACCAATTCAGCCCGTTCAGCCCGTTCAGCCCGTTCAGCCCGTTCAGCCCGTTCAGCCCGTTCAGCCCGCGGCTCCCCCGGTTGCACCAGTTGCACCAGAGGGTTATGGGATGCCCGCACCCACCAAGACGGAGGCTCAAGTGCAACAGGAACAGTTAGTCATGGAGATGAGTGTTAAGACAAGAATGACTCTACAGTACTCGGAGATGGCGCTATCGGGAAATGGTTGGAACATGGAGGCTGCTTTGAAGAATTTCGAGGATCTTAAGGTGAGCATCACATCCAGGCATTGGAATGTTCTCTTTCTAACAGCATGTTTCTTGCAGACCCAAGGACAGTTGCCCCCTGAGGCGTTTCTTCCGGGAACCATTTAGGCTTTGTCTCTATTCAAACAGCAACCCAACGTTTTTTGGATTGCTTTTCGGGGATAGAACCAAAACAGAAAAAGGAGGAAAAACAAACAAAAAAAAGGAAAGAAACAATTTTACCTTGTAATAAATACCAATGTTTTCTTGCATGGCTTAGGCGAATGGCTATTGGGAGGTTTATCTTTGCTCAGTCCTGTATTTATTTCCTGTACCTCATTAGAGGCCACGACGATTATGTCCATATAGATGGTGACGAAATATCCACCAAAAAAAGGAACAAAATAGAAGTTGCTTGATCTCACAACAAAATATGGGATCCTTATACTTCGTAGACATCAAATGAAGGCGGGCGGCAGCGGCTTGGCGGGCGCTAAACTGGACAGCAATGCGGCGCCTGCGCTTCTCCGATCATCAACATTCCGCGCACCCTCGATACTCTCCGGTCTGTACCACCTTTTCGCGTGATTGATCTTTTCTCGGTGATTGATCACGGCTGGAGTATATCCGCGGATGATCTGTTCTTTGACTTGCAGCATGATTATTGCTTGTACGTTGAGGAGCTAATGGAATGTCCACCACTACTACAACCCCCGGCCATTCGCCCTCCAACGGAGCGGCCGACCTCGATCCCCTGGATGCAGGTGAGCAGAATATCCGGAGTTCCCAGAGGCTGAGTCTGTCCACTAATCCCCGGGACCAAAAACTGAAGCCGACTATGACCCAATCGACCACCTGAACTCAATCTTTTCGCACCCCTCCACGCTGTCCTCGGTGTCCCAGGTCTCCGACACCCTGCAAACCTACGAAGATGAGCTCGACAACGATATCGGCGCGCTGGTCGAGGACCAGGTTATTTCCAATGCCGAGAGCGTTGAGCGCATCCAGGCCGCCAAAGCGGATCTCACCGAGCTGTTCAAGAAGATCGACGACGTGCGCGACCGCGCCTCCCGGACCGAGCTGGCCATCACGGAGATGACGGCGGATATCAAGCAGCTGGATAATGCGAAGAAGAACCTCACGCAGTCGATGACCGCGCTGAAGAGGCTGCAGATGCTGACGACGGCGTACGATCAGCTTCGCGTGCTGGGCAAGACGAGGCAGTACCGCGACTGCGCCCAGTTGCTGCAGGCCGTCATTCAGCTGATGGCGCACTTCAAGTCGTACCGGTCGATCGATCAGATTGCGCTGCTCAGTCGGAATGTGGCGGATATCCAGCGGGAGCTTCTGGAGCAGATATGTGAGGACTTCGAGCTGGCGTTTGCCAAGGGGGAGGTCGGACAGAGGAGGACTACTCTTGCGGAGGGTTGTCTGGTTATGGATGCGCTGGGAGACCATGCGAAGACCAGGCTGGTCACTTGGTATTGCAATTTCCAGCTGCGGGAATACCGGCAGGTTTTCCGCAACAATGAGGAGGCTGGCTCGTTGGACAACATATCCCGGCGATATTCCTGGTTCCGGCGCATCCTGAAGATATACGATGAGGAGTACGCGCCTATCTTCCCGGCTTCCTGGCGGGTCAACGAGATCCTGGCGAATATTTTCTGCGAGGGCACCCGGGAGGATTTTAAGGGGATTCTGTCCCGGTCGGTGCGGAATGGACAGACGATTGATGTTAACCTTCTGCTGTCGTGCCTGCAGGAGACGCTCGATTTCGAGCATTCTCTTGAACGACGGTTTGTGAGCCCGTCGCGACCCTCAACAGATACGTTCGCCTCGACGGAGACTTCGTTGTTCAGCCAAGCCATCTCGGAGGCGTTCGAGCCCTATCTCAGTGTGTGGGTGGAAGCTCAAGACAAACAGCTTGCGGCGCTCGTACCGAAGTACCGGCAACAGCCCCTGCGGCCCCCAGACGAGGAGTTCGACTCCAACATCGTCATCTCGTCTTCGACGGAGCTATTCACATTCTATCGGCATGCGTTGCAGCAATGCGCGAAACTCTCGACCGGAGGAAGCCTTGCCGATCTCGCAAAGGTCTTTGCGAAGTACTTGGATCAATACGCGCAGCAGGTGCTTCTGTACTACATCAGCGAACGGCCCACCGGCCACACTCCGTCCAATGTGCCTTCTCTAGAGGACCTGATCTCGGTTCTTAACACCGCCGATTATTGCTACACGACTTGCAACCAACTGGAGGAGAAGATCAAAGGCCGGCTTGACAAGAACTTGAAACAGTCGGTGGACCTCCAAAGCCAGGCTGACTCGTTTATGGGGATCGCATCAGCCGCTGTCCGAGGACTTGTGCGACAGGTTGAGGTCGATCTGGAGCCCTGCTGGCGGGAGATGCGCAATACGCCTTGGAACCGGCTGGAGGCCGTCAGTGATCAGAGTTCCTACGTTGGCGAGCTCCTGTCCAAGACGCAGACCCGGTCGTCCGACATTCTGCAGCACCTGCATAAGCAGCAATATGCCAGGGCTTTTGCAGACCATGTCGTGGAGTTGATATCCAACTTGTTCATTACGACAGTATCCCAATGCAAGCCCATCTCCGAGACGGGAGCAGAACAGGTATTATTATTTCATTCTCCCTCTAGCACTCTCGCTAACAATCCCGCAGATGCTTCTGGACGCCTATACCCTCAAGACCGGCCTCTCCTCGCTCCTCCCCGCCCCGGCACCCGCCGGCTTCGTTAAGCGCGTCAACAACAGCTTCGCCAAGATCGAGACCCTCCTCAAGACCGTCCAGGTCAACCCCTCCCCTCCCGAGGCCCTCGTGCAAGCCTACCTCATCCACATCGCGGACCGCAATAACGCCAACTTCCGCAAGATCCTCGACCTCAAGGGCATTCGCAGCCGACAGGAGCAGAACCACCTCGTCGAGCTCTTCCAAGTCCATCGCGCCTCCGACCGCCACGCACCCAACCTCCAACAAAACAACCCCGTCCTCGCCGCCCTCCAGACCTCCAACGCCCCTTCCTCCAGCTCCGTCTCGCAGGGCCTCGGCCTCGGCTCCGCCGCCGCCTCCATCGGCGCTTCTAATCTCCCTACCCGCTTTGATCCCTCCATGCTCGGTTCCGCTCTCATCTCTGCCGCCAAAGACGGCGTCGACCGCTTCGGCACCCCCATTGGTAACGCCAGCTCAGCCGCCGCTGGTGTTGTCGGCTCGGGGTCCGCCGCTCTCGCCAACACCGCTGTCTCTGCGTCCATGACGCCCGGTGGTGGTGGTCCATCGGGTCCGGGACAGAACACTCAACCCGGCGAAAGCAGCTCGTCCACCTCTGGGAATCTGAACGAGAATTTGAAGAATATCGGCAAGTTCTTCCGTCGTGATCTGGGTGGCTTCGGTGGGAGGTTTGGGAGGAGCGGTGATGATGGTTGATTGGATGGCCTTTCTAAACTGAATGGTGTCAACTATCTGTTTCCTTCCTAACTTACGGACTGACCTACCTGCCTACCTACTTCTACTTCTCTACGTGTTTAGCGTTTTGGAAAGCAAGTATATATACATATGTGTGTGTTTGAGGGGTGTGAGTGTATGTAATTATATGAACTAGTTTCTTTAGATGGGCATCGCATCGGTATCAGCATAAGCATAAGCATAAGCATAGGCTGTCATAGGCATAGCTATAGATATCAATTATCTGGATTCGTTACATTTACGCTCACCTTTTTTTGACGTATATAATGGGGGATTTTGTTAGTTTTATGAGCTGAGCTCATCTAATCCATCGGCTCTGCACACCGCTAGCCAGCCAATTAATAACCAAACCAAAAGCATACCTTACATCATTCATGTTCCTACCATCTACCTACCACCTACACCCCTACATACTGGAATAGGACCGTAGATAAGTCGACCAAAACCCCGGCAATAATCGAGAGTTATGGCGACTTGCGGGTTTTGCCAGTAGTTTTTGGAGTAACGTCTTCCATCAAAGTACAAAATTCTACTTACTATCTTCGTCGTCGAGGGTAGAATAACGATTCCCTTGAACAGGACCATATTGTACAGACAGGCAGAGTAGGTATGATGATAACTCATTGTATGTACATACTCTACTACATGTATGTATGTATGTAATGTACTTCCAACCAAAACAAGAGAACATGAAACGAGAAGAAGGGAATAAAAGACTCCTCTCTACTCGTCCGCTTGATCTTCATTTCCTCCCCTTCTTCTTGTTCTTGTTCTTGTTCTTCTTCTTCTTCTTCTTTTTTTCTTCCGCTTTCCCTGTCCATCTTCTTGCTCAACCTCATCTGCAGTCGCAGGGGCATCCTCGATCGCATTCTCATTCTCAGTCCCACCTTGGGCGCCATCCTGTTCGCGGGTTTTATTTCCCACCACAAGCATAAGTTTAAACTCAACTTCAACCTCGTTCCCATCTCCATTCCTCAGTATCCCCATCCCTATCGCCATCCCTTCTTCCTCTTCCACTCACCTCAGCCATATCCTCGCCCTGAGCTTCAACCCCAACACCAACTTCACCATCGCCATCCCCTCCTCCTCCTCCTCCTCCACCAACCTCACCCTGCCCCTGTCCCTGAACTTCAGCCCCACCACCAACCTCACCCTCCGCCCTGCGTATCAAAAAATCACAAAGCGTATCAAACTCCACAAACATATACCGCCTCGGCGCACCCAATTGATCCAATCCCCTCACCAACCCATCCACAAGCGCATCCCCAAAGTCCGCCCTCACCCTGCGCAGCAACAACAACGCAGCGCAGTACGGCGTGACGGTACACCACAACCGATTCGTCAGGTGGACTGCGTGGCGGAACGCGGCGATGAAGGCGGCAGGGGTCTGCGTGGGCGGGTCCCGCGTCATGAAGATGCAGTTTGCGTAGGCGGTTTCGGAGTGCAGGGCTTGGTGGCCGGGGAGGTGGTTCATGACGACTTGGTAGATTAGGGTGTAGATTGTGTCTGCGAAGATGGTTTCCGGGGGTGGCGGGGGGTTAGGGGTAGGGGTTGGGGGGTTATTGGAGGGGGGGTCAGGGATGGGAGGGGAGAGGGTTGCATGGATGGTGTCGGTGCGGAGGACGCGAGAGAGGATGTGCGGGTTGATTTGGCGGACGAGCCAGTTCTTGACGAAGAGGGAGGTGCGGCGCCAGAGGGGGTAGGATGGGTCGGAGGGGGATGGGCGAGGGATAGAGGGCCGGATGATTTGGGGGATGTCGGCGCTTTCGAGAGTCGTTTCGATTAGGTAGGACCAGGAGTCGTAGTTGGAGTAGCCGTCAAGGCGCTCGGGGAGGTCGACTAGCTGGATGGGGAGCTCTGAAAGTTTGCGGCCTCCGTTGTAGAGCTGCGTTGTGTTGGGAGGGGGGTCGCCCTGGCTAGGGACAGGGGCGTCGGTGCCGGTGGCCGGGGTGGACATGGTTTCTCGTCTGCGTTGGTCGGTTGGTCTGGTCAATGTGACTTATCGACAGGATGAGATGGAAGGACAGAAATGGGAGAGATGGAAAGGATGGAAGAGGGAAGGATGGAGAGAGAAAGACGGAAATGGAAAGGATGAGGTATGATATAGAAACAGCCTGGGCATGTTAGGTTGTATCAAACAGCGAATATAAAGGACAATGTCGTTTGAAACCCAAACAGTCCATCTTGCAGTTGTCACGAAGAGATCCAATGAGATGATAGGAAAAATGATGAAAAATGAAAGCTTCATTTAATAAAAACATAATGCATTTATCAAACATAAGATGGCCCAGAGACTAAAATGAAAATAAAAACAACCAGGGACTTTTGGAACAAAACAATCCAAGTCCCCAACATCTCCAGCTTCATTCATAAGATAATAGCAAAGCTAAACTAAAGGTGAGAGAAAAAAAGATATCATAGACGGGGAAGGGGAGATAATGTAGGCATCAATCAATAAGATAAGAAAAAGAAAAAAAGACCACAACTCATATCCCTTTTTGGTTCATCCCCGGTCATTCCAAGAAACTTTTTTTTCACACACACGGATTATTTACTGCTGCTGCTGCTTCCAGCGGGGAACCCACTTCTGGGGACCGCCCTTGGACTCCTCGGGTTTGTCGGAGCTGCTGGCGGGAGTTTGCGTTCGGGAGGGAGGCTGAGAGGAGGCGGAGTCACGCGGCGAAGGACGCGACCACCGTTCGGAAGAGGCACCGTTCGAGGGAGGAGCCGAGGGAGCTGCGTTGGAGCTGCCACGGAGGTGGGGAGGCACGTAGCCACCGGTCTTCCGGGGAGCGGGGGCCTCTTCCTTCGGGGCTTCGGCCTTGGGGGGCTCGGAGGCACCCGAAGCCTCCTTGGCAGCCAGACGCTCTCTCCAGCTCGATCCACCAGGGCGAGACGCAAGGTTCAGGCGAGGAGCGGTGCGTTCGGTAGTAGGGGGCTCGTAGGCGGCGCCAGACTTCTTGGCAGCAAGACGAGCTTCCGCCTCTTCTTCGCGCTGCTTCTGTCGGAGAGCGATCTCGTCGAGTTTCCTGATAGAGATATTATTAGCAGATGCATCATGACATTCAGTAGGTGACACTAACTTCCTCTCCTCTTCGCGCTTGGCCTTCTCCTCGATCATGACACGGCGACGCTCTTCGTCCCTGGCGACGCGCTCCTCCTCCTCGCGCTTGATGCGCTCCTCTTCCTCCTTCTGGCGGCGCTCGGCCTCCTCCCGCTCGGCCTTCTCGCGGCGGCGGCGCTCCTGCACCTCCTTGACACGCTGCTTCTTCTTGGCCTCGAACTCCCTCTCGGCAGCCTTGCGGCGCTTTTCGAACTCCTCGTGGCGCTTCTCGGAGACCTCCTTGCGGAAGCTGGTGAACTGAGGTACCAGGCGGCTGAGACGGTGCTTCAGGGCGACGGCCTCCTTGTGCGTGTTCTCGGCTTCCTTGAGAGCGGAAGCCTTGGTGGCCTCGTACAGCTCAAGGTCGCGCTTCTTCTGCTCCTCGTAGTCCTCGGGAATGTGCTTCAGCTCCTCACGACGGAAGGCACGCTCCAAGTGGTCAATGCGCTTGGCAGTGGTGCGGATGCGGTCGTTCAGCTCGTTCTTCTCCTTCTCAAGCTGGGCCAGCTTGATGGCGCGGATGCGGTTGGAGTCCATGTCCTCGAGATCAAGCTCGCTGAGGTCAATGCCCTTGACGCCGCTCTTGAGCTCCTCCAGCTGCTTCTTCAGCTCCTGCTGGCGGATGCGGTCCTGCTCATCCTTGATACGCTTCTTCTCACGCTCACGGAGCTCGTCCGCCAGACGCTGGCGCTCAGCCTCCTGCAGCTGCTGAGTGCGGATGCGCTTGCGAGTCTCCTCCTCGCGCTGCTTGCGCTGCAGAGCGTCGGTGGCGGCCTCCTTCTTCTTCTCGATGACGACCCGGCGGGCCAGGGTCTCCTCGTGCTCCTTGGCGGCACCAGCCAGGGCGCGGGCCTGGGCGGCCTGCTTGGCCTGGAGACGGGACTCGTTGTAGGAGGGGTCAACGTACATGCACGAGACGTGCAGGGTCTTGGCCAGGCGGGTGAGCTGCAGACGGGCAATTTCAGCGGGGGTGTTCTGCAGGCGCTGGACGGTGCCGATCTCGCTCTCGGCGGAACCGGCGGCGCTACCGGAGTGCAGGGCCTTGGCGGAGGAGAAGACGTCGGTGTCGAAGGTGAGCACGCCGGCGATGTGGTCGACGCGGATGGCCAGGTCGCCCTTCTTGCAGCCGTTCATGATGAACTTCTCGATCATGGCGGGGGTGATCTGGAAGGGGTCGGGGAACTGGGCGAGTTCGTAGACGAACTTGAGCTCGACCGACTCGTAGACCTGAGACAGCTGCTGGAAGAGACGGGTGAGGATGACCTGCTGCAAAGGTCCGACATACTTCTCCATCTCGGGATCCGCGCCAATCTGCTTGAGGATGGGGGTGATCTTCTTACAGATCGACAGAGGGTGGAAATCGACCTCCAGGATGTTGTACAGGTCACGGATCTCGGGGCGCGCACGCTTGAGCATACCCTTGTTCAGAGCGTCCTTGAACAGAACGGCACGAGTGGGGGACTGAGCCATGCCGAGCAGGTTGGTGAGACGGGTGTTCTTGTTCTTGCGGACCTCGTCCACGTCGACCAGAGCGCCGCGGGAGCGAGAAGTGCTGATGACGGGGATGGCGAGGGCCGACAGGAGCACGAAGGAAGCGGCCTTGGTCATGTCGGCATCCGTAACGGAGGGGTTCTCCTTCTTGGTGCCCTGGCCGGCGGCGAGGGTGGCGGCAGACTGGCGGAGGAGGTTGTAGTAGCGGCTCCAGGCGGCAGCGTGGAAGAGGTAGTTCTCGCTGACCAGGAAGATGCGGGCCAGCTTCTCGTAGTAGTTGGCCATCATGACGTTCTTGGCAGGGCGCTTGCTGAGGCTCAGTAGGGTGTGGATATCCTCAATGCTGCGGAAGGCCTCCTGCCAGAGCTCCAGCTCGACGGCGACGTTCAGCTGCTGGAAGCGGGTGTCGAGGTGGCGCTGCAGGGTGTCGGGGTCGCTCAGGTTGATGGCGTGCATCTGAGCGGAGTACTTGGCGGCGTTCTGGACGTGGTTGCGCAGAAGCTCGCAGAGACGGCGGAACTCGGTCTTGCGGGTGTACTTCAGGCAGAACTGGAAGGCCTGCAGAGCGGTGGTCTGGTACATGACCTCAAGACGGGCGTTGTTCTTAAGGATCTCCAGCACGGTACGGTAGGTCTCCCACAGGAACTTCAACCACGGGGTCACGACGGCACGGTCGGTACGGTCCCGAGACTGTTCACCGGACACGGTGGCCAGGAGAATGGTCTCGGGAGTCTCGATGGCTTCCAGGTCCTCGACATTGGAAGAAGGGGCGGCGGATTCCAACGAGGACTGAATCTCGTCGGCCTTGGTCTGGGCCTCGGTGACCTTCTTCTCGGCCAGTTCGATGAACTTCTTCAGAACAACCTATATCAAGTAACGTATCAGCCAATTGTTTTCTCCTTTCGCGACATCCAGAGACTGTCGAATTTACCTCGATGGTTCCAACGTTGGTGTTCTGGGCGATGTTCTTGTACTGGTACAATCCATCCTTGGCGGCCTTTCCTTTGCGCAGGTCGACACACAGCTCGACAAACAGGAGCATAACCGGCTCGAGCGAGGAGATGGGGCTGCTGCGCGTCCTCTTAGAGGTGACATGTTCGTGGAGGACGTTCAGGGCGGCGGGAGCCTGACCGACGGCGATGAGTTCCTGAGCCCGCTACGGGTGAAGAAAATCTTGCGTTAGCGACTAGGCTCTATTTGTTGGTTCCGTCCAGTCCAGAATTCCCCAATAGTATTATCCTCAACACTAAATCATCCGGACGGAGACGGCGACAGGAAGGGACCGACTCACCTTCAGGACATTCTCCGGTTTGATATGGGGTGGAGGCGGCATGGTGGGCGAGGGAAGAACAGGTCTCGTCTAGGATAAGCGATTCACAGAGAGAAGTCGAGACAGGCCAACACACGGGAAGGCGAGAAGTTGGCACAACGACGTGGGCGGGCAGCAAGAGTCGAAGGCGATTCGGTGCCTGAATTGAAAAAGACGCTGCCACGCGACGGTCGATAAGATGGCCCAGATGGGAGGATCGTTGGGGCAGGCAAGCAGAGGCGTTGTGCGAGAATCTCGAAAAAACAGGCCGCCAGGGCGTTCCCACTTTGGGTTAAGCGACGGGGGTCACGTGGTGTCTGCCACGGGGGGGTTCCCAGAGGAGTTGGGGAGGGATTATATTTATACAATAAGTGGAATTGGAATGCTAGAATTATATTTTATGTCACTACTGGGGTTTTACAATCGACAGCTCTTGGTCGTCAGGAAGAAAGATGGATGAGTCTCCCCGCCAGTCTCTCTCGGATGGAGGCAAGTCATCCGCACATCACGTGGTCCTGCTGACTCAACGACTCTGTCCACTGATTCTGCCGGGCGGTGTCTCACGGGCTATCCGGTAACAAAGACAACACGGTGACAATACCCATACGGAGGGAGCACGTGAGAGACATCGCGACACCGAAGAGAATAAATAATATGGAATAATAATGATATGATCCCTCATGGAGATGTAGACCGAAGACTGATCAAACCAACGTCATCGCACTCCAATCCTTGGCCTGGTTCGATTTGCAATTGTGCTCTCTTGCCTCGATAGATCTCCTGCTCTGACCATCCTCGCATCTTCAAGAATCCGACTCCATCGTCCTTCGTCAGGGGAGATCCGCGACGACTAAAAGGGGACTTTTGGCCGGAATTAATTAAAACGATTCCCACTCACAGACCAAGCCGGGCGACACTAACGAACTCCCTCCTTCTCTCTTCTTTTCCTCTCCTTCTCCTCTTTCTTAGTCTTTTTCCCTCCGCCTCCTCTTTTTACCGTCCGTCGCTCTCTTTTTCAATTCGTCTTTTTGGGGCCTTTTTTTCTCCTCCCCCTTCTTTAATTTTTTCCCTTCCTTTTCTTCTTTCCCTCTTCTTTAATCCCTCCCCCAAATTTCGATATCTCGGATCAACCATTCGTTCGCTCTCTCCATTGTTACAAAGAAGACAATAAAACCCCCCAACAAGGGAAAAAGGAGATTTGTTCCACCCACGCTCACTCTCCCCTCCTCTCCTCCTTTTCCCCGTCGCGCCCGCCTTTCCCGACCTTCCACCAACTTAACTTCCCCTTACTGCCGGCTCCAGCGCGCGACTGGGAGCTTCTCTCAATCCACTCACTCACTTCGCTCGACTGCCCACGTCGTCGCATAATTCCTACGTTAATTTAATTAATTCGTTTTAATTAATTAACGGCGTCAACCCGTTAATTTTTTTGGGATCCCTTTTCGTTTCGCCGACTATCCACCTCGAACCCATCCCACAACGCCAAAATCAACATGCCTGCCTACGAACTCCGATCGGGGGGAGACGTGAAGAACAAGAAGCAAAGTGTGGCCGACCTGAAGTACCGACGATTGACCGAACTCAATGCTCGTCTGAAGGAGGATTTGGACCGCCCGCGGGTGAAGGTGTCGGATGCCGCAGGATCGTACGTTGGCATCTCCCCATCATCAATGCGTCAACCTCGTTTGGCCTGCCCACGTGTACTAACGCCTCGTTCCTCGACTGCAGATTGATCGATTACTGCAACAACACTCGCGACTTTATGGTGCCGTCCGTATGGGGTCCGGTATGCGATTCTTTTGCCCTCAAGGAGAATGAATCTCCGACGACCGCTAATCACGCATCCAGATTACCAAGCACGATGATCCCTACGCTCCTCCGCAGCAAAAGGGTTGCTGCACGGTCATGTAACGGATTCATGACATTCGACGTCTTTTGAAATTGAACAGGACTGTGTCGGGTCGCAGTTCTTGCCTCTTTTGCCGCATATTATATCCTCATCGCTATGACCTTGTTCACTTCTACTACCCTAATTTATTTGTCTTGATATTTTACTTCTTTCTATCACCCTTCTCTTCGACGGCTTGGGATAATTCGCTGTCCTACCTTTTTTATCTTTTATACCGCATACCCAGGGGAGAAACTTTCGAAGGAGTGAGAACGGCTGGCTTCCAGGTATCGGAAGGCCGTTCAACGGGCTGCCGAAGGAGCGCGCTGGACTTGCATAAACTTCGGATGCTGACCGGTGAAAACTGGTTCGGATTGTTTGTTGATGACCTTTTCTTATCTTCTATCGCATTTTCCCTACTTGTCTTGAAACATTTTGGCCGTGGAGAATGTGTCCAGTTTCTTTACTTATCTCTCTTCATCTCTCTTCGAATCTCCTTTTCTTTTCTTTTTACCTTTTGCGAATTTCATTGTTCTCCGGATTTCCTTTGTTGCAGCAGTCAGTGAATTATGGACGGGTCTCGTGGGATCAAGCATCAACCGCCTGAATGGTTAAAAGCAGCAAAATAAAAAAATAACAGAATAATTTACAGTCAACTGACAGGATGTTGTATAGTATGATTTCAGCTGCCCACATCGAGATGTAAATAGATGTTGATTAATAGTGTTTACTTTCATCGTCTACGGTTCTCGAGGGTAGAGCATGAACAGCCCTAGGTTACCTTAGGGACGGAGAATAATGAAGATCATCCTGTAAGGTGAGAAGTGACAGGTCCAGTTAGCATGTACGGAGTAGTAGTAGTACAATGTAGATAGAAGTATGCTGTAGCTGGACGCATCCGAGTTATGTGCATGCAATAATCTGCATTGACCCGATCGATCGTCAGTGCCATCCTGGAGTACGTTACTGCATTATAAACATCATCAGCTCATGATCGTGATAACAATCATCATAACAATAGAATCAGACAGAAAATAAGATAGGTGAGAGATAAGAAAGAGTATCCATACAGGAACATAATCATCATCACGGACCATCCCCTGGCATTCCAGAATCCAGACCGAAGCAGCCTTGCCGCTGACATCATCCGTCCTCCGAAACAACAGCCTCATTTCGTTTACCTTTTTTCTTCCCGGTTCCATCCTCGTCTTTTGCAGATCAGATCAGATCGGACTTTCCAGGCCATACTCATTTTCTACATACCATTCATTTGCTATATCTTCATTGTTATTATTCTCCATAATTGTATGTCCCCAGAATTCCCCCCGTAAACCACACACAGACAGAAAGTGACGGAAAGAAAAGAAAGATGTCCGAGCAACCGCCCCCAAGCACAACCCCTCCTCCAGCCGCCACAGCCCGTGCCAACCCCGGCAGTGGCCCTGGAACGGAGTCTGGTCCTCGGCCGCGCATTGCCATCCAGTACTGTACGCAGTGTAAGTGGATGTTGAGGGCTGCTTATGTAGGTTTTCTTCCTTTGGTTCCTTTGGTTCCTTTGGTTCCTTTGGTTCCTTTGGTTCCTTTGGTTTCCCCCCTGGTTAAGTGTTTGTGTATGCATACTTGGTATATGTATATCGATCTGGTATACATATACTAAACAAACACACACACATACATACATCTATATCAACATCCATATATCATACATATACATATAAATATACCCCACCCATTAACAAATACCTAAACCCATCTAGTTCGCCCAAGAACTCCTCTCCACCTTCTCCACCGACCTCCAAGAAGTCTCCCTCGTCCCTAGCACCGGCGGGATCTTCACCGTGACAATATACCACACCATCACTCAATCGCACCCAGAAACCAGTCAATCCCACCCCGACGGAGGAAACCAATTCCAGGGCCAAGTAACAGCAACGCAGCTCTGGGATCGCAAGACCGATGGGGGATTTCCTGGTTCGTTTTCCTGTACCATCACCATCACCCTCACCCTCACACCCACCTATACCTACAAGTTCCACCTACCTACCTACCTACCTACCTACCTACACATACTGACAAAACTAACAACAATGGTCTCTCAAAATAGAAGTAAAAGTCCTCAAATCACTTGTCAGAAACATCGTCGCCCCGGGGAGAAGTCTAGGACATACGGATCGGGCGTTGAATAAGGGACAGACAGGTACATCTACATCTACACCAACTCCTGCAGCCGCATCTACTCCTGCAACCATATCTACTCCTGCAACCACATCTACTTCTACAGCGACTTCGACTTTGACTTCGTCGACTGTGCAGGGACAGGGACAAGGACAAGGACAGGGACAGGCAGATGCAGGAACGAAGGAATGTGAGGATTGTCAGTGATCTTTCTTCTGTTTCCTTATACATGTACTCCGTGCCCTTAAGAAATATGCATACGAATCTACAATTCTACTTTCTCTCAATAGATGATAGACTATGAAAGACAAACGTCTCATTCATGATATTAATACCACAATATTAATATCCATATATATCCAAACCAGGCATGTGCATTTCTCAAGCATACCATGCTAATAGAAAGAAGAAAAATAGGACGAAAAAGATCGAACAAATGCAAAAGACGGGTGACTATATAACCCCAATCAAACAACTGAAAGTCCAGGTCAATCAACCAGGTTCTTCCAATCAAAACGCCAAACACACGCCCCGACTCTAAATTTACCCTCCCAACCCAGACCCTGCCTGTCCTTATTGCGAACGGCAAAGAACAGAACCAAGAGACATGAACCATATGTGAATAAATAAAGTGCGCCAACTCCGTGTTGTTGTTGCAATCGTTGAAAAAGATATCAAATCCATCGGAGATCGTCGGCCATCCGACATCGACTGAGCCGGTCGAATAGTTCGAGACCGTCCGCTTTCTAGGCCAACGAGAAGCCACTTGAGGCATCCTCTCGTAAGTCGCGCCGGATAGCGTCGTCAATATCGTCAGATCTTCGTAAATGAAGGGTTCCTGAAGAACGCGGTCCATAAACCCTCAAGCGGACTCGAATGTCGCCCAGTCAGAAAGGAAGGTTTTTGGTTTGATAACCCGGTGTTCGTATGTATACCGAGCATTGTCGTCACAATCATGCAATTCCATCGTAAAGAGAAGCCCATTGTCCCACAGGATGAGGCCCTCACCATATACCTGTCCATTCATCCAAATGGATTTCCCAGCCACAAACACCGTTTTTTGTGAAAGAAGTAGATATATCAAAACAAAGATCGAGAAAAATGATGGAGATTTTCTCGATGAGAAGGATGGTAAGTAACAAGAAACAAGATCGTTCATGATTCGCCACTCAGTTCGTGCTGGTGCGAATGATGGTTTTTACGCCTCCAAAAGGCCAAGCGGAGACGGCTTCGACGTTTCCGAGGTTGCTGCTGCGGTTGTTGCTGCTGTTCACCGCCGGCCTCATTCCACTGGTGCGGATCATGGCCATATTTCATACTCGCATTGGTCGACGTGGAGTGAGAACTGCCGACTCCGTTTTCTCGGCGCGGCGAGTTCAAGTGAAGGTGATGGCCCTTGTTGGAGTCGTCCGTCGGATGGGAGGTAGGACTGTTGGCAAATCGAGGATGCTTTTCTCCACTGTTCTCGACGAAACTCGACGAGCTAGGGCGTGCGCTGCTGTCCCGTCCAAAGTCGTCCTGGTCTGGGCTGCCCTCTTGCGAAAGACCCTTTTCATCACCGCTGTCCACGGTAAGGAAGCTGGTGGCGTTCGTCGCGGGAGAGATGGGCGTCATGTTGTTGCTGTAATTGCTGAGACTGTGCGTCCGTGTACAGCTGTTCCGTTGAGAGCTCGACGGGCCCGACGTGCGACCGGACGAGCCGGTGTTGGCGTGATGGCGGCGGTATGGCATGTTGCGCGAGCTGTTCGGTCTTTCTCCGGTGCCCTCCTCGACCGAGCCGTCGCGATCTTGGCTTTCCTGCGTGTAGATGACGGCGGCCAAAACAGCTGGGTCTTGGGAAGAAGAGCCGTTCGCATCAGCGGTGTTGTGGTGGTCCGCATGAGCATTGGATGGCACTGGCGTCGTCGCACTTTCGGCGTCCGGAGATGCCTCTGCGATGGACATTCTGGCAAGATCAGGCACGGCACTGGAAGACTTCCGCGTCGGGGTTTCGGTCGTGAAGGGAATTCCGGTGATATCCATCGATGGACCGGGCGTATCGGGCGACATCACCGGGCTGATCGCGTTTTCATTCAGGCTGTCTTCCGACTGCGTGGACTCCGACGCCGAACGAATTGATCCAAAGTAATCATTGTCCTGATTTCGGCTGTTCGTTGCAGTGGGCGGGAATACTGGCTTGATCGGCGTATCAGGACCGGGAGTGGCCAACGGCGCACGGAGGCCTTGCAGATCTTTGATACTTGTCGCGGGGCTCTGCGTGCGGGGAGACAAAACGTCCTCGGGGTTGATTTCACCGCGCAACGCCTGTTTCTTGCGCTCCAGGTCGGCGAGCAGATGCCATTTAGACTGGTTGTTACGGATGTGCTCAACGGTGAACTCCATGCCGGGCAAAATGTCCGCCACGCCTTCGAAAAGGGGGAGGGCGAATATCGACATGAACCCGATTTGGCCTGTCGCAAGCTTGAAGGTGTTCCCCAGTTCCGGAGGGCCGCCGAACAGGGCCGTTTCCATCCCGACTTCCTTCTCCATCTCTCCCTGATTGGCGAATTCTTCCTGCAGGATCTTGGTCCACTTTTCCGCCACGTCCCACGGGCGTGCCACATTGCTGATGTCGGCGCATTTAATCAACAGACCGCATAGGAGCGTCTTGTACATATCAAGATCCTGCGGCTTCCACCCGTCGAGGCATTTGCCATTCTCGTAGAACTTCTCCTGCAACGATCCGAGCCGCTCCATAAACTTCTGGTGGACGCCCATGTCGGTAGCGAGAATCGAACTGATCAGAAGCTTGCGGAGCTGTTTATCTTTGAAGGCTGTGGGCCAGTAGCGACGGAGAATTTGCGAAAACGCGGCGCAGTGGAAGGCTTCCAAGACCGAGTTGTCGTTGTACAGTTGGGCCAAAGGCGCATTGAGTTTGACCAGGAAGAAGTTGTTCACACCGGGGTGGCCGACATCATGCCCAATAGCAGATATCAGCAACGTCAGAGTGTCGAACGGCGTCAGAAGGGTTGCGAGCGGCGAGATGGAATCGAGCTCCTGAGAATCAGATCCAAAGGGTGGCAGGGCGCCAATGTGCAGCAGAAAACAGAACACGGACTGCAGAACATCAATGGCATGTCGGAAGTTGTGATAGAGGACGAAAGAGTTGTAGGAGGTGCGGCAGGCGAGCAAGAACTCCAAGAGCTCATCTGGCGTCAGATGCCAATGTTCCAGGTTGGGTAGGGTGAAGGCGTGCTGGAGCATCTCAAACGCAGCTTGCACTAGCTCATCGTCGGAAAAATCGTGGCCGTTGTATGACCATGACCCGATTTTCTCTCTAATGAGTTCCAAGCGTTCGGGTTGTATGTCCAATTCCCTGCAGGCAAGATCAGCAAAAAAAACCGGGAGATAGAGAACGGGACGTTCCGCCTACCGGTCCTGAAATTCCTCTATAAACTCTTCGGGATTGCAGATGCCCTTCATCAGTTTCGATACCCTGCGAAAGAACACATGTTCGTTAGCAATCACTCGCTATTGGCCAAGAGCCATCCAGCGCAAACCTACATGGCTTCTCTCAGATAAGCATAGGGCTGCTCATCATGAACGCCCACCCACGAGTGTTTGCGCAACTTTTTCCTTGACAAAAAGCGCGACTGCTCCTTCAGCGCGGATTTTCGAGTTCTGAAAGCGTGTACGATAAGACCCTGCACTCTGGCCTTGTCTAGAGGAGCCGCCAGAACGTCCACCGCGCCAGCATCTAAACATCTCGAAATCTGGTGCGGCCCCGGAATCGAAACATCGCCGCGCGGTTCATCGGAAGGGGCGCTGGTTGGGACACCTTGTGGCGAGCGCAGGATCGCGACGGGCACAATGAGATTCGGAGATTCTTGGACTTGAATATCGGCGGACAACCCGGAGAGCAGCTTCAGATCGTACGTTCCTTCGGATTGCGAGGAAAACGTAAATTGGCGATGTAACGACGTCGGCGAGGGAGGGGCTATTTCTGGCCACGAACCACGGCTGCTCTTGCGCCGAGCTAGGCCGGACTCGTCGCCGTTCATGTCGATATCGAAGAACGCGAAGATGGGCGAACACGCCTTCATGCCCCTGTCATTGCATTCGGCCAATTTCGAGGCGAGAGAAGCTCCGGACTGGCAAAGGTAGACTACATTCCAAACCCATCGTTAGCACGGGGATCTAATCACCGGGTGGCTATAGCAGAACCGCGATTGACACATACTTCGATCGGAAACTCCCAACAAAAGCTTTACGTCGGAGCGAAGGGTTTCGGGCTCGTCGGAAGTTAGAAAGGTGTTGACGTTAGCAGTATCTGCCGATCCGTCGATTGACACCCATCGTTCCGAACTAACGCGATGATCAATGTATACTGCTGAACATTCAATGCGATCCATGATGGCGGTTGGATTCGGTGCACGAAAGGAAAGGAAAATTCGAAATCGCAGTCCGTTTCACAACGCACTACGAGAAGCGAGAGAAAGAGAAGAGGACGTTAAGTTCTACTCGGTGAACACTCAACCTTCATAGGGTTGAGATGCAATGGTTGAGGGCAAGCCGAGAGGTGGGAGAAACGAGCGGCAGGCGGAAATGTACAAAGGGGGAGCGACGAGGGCAATGTCTCGGTGGTGAGAAGAAAATTGCGGCAATTTCAAGGGAGTGAATGTAAGATTTCGTTCTGTTGGTTTGTAGGACTGCGTCAGTAACCAGGACAGAGAGCTAGGAGGTGCAATCGGGGGAAAAGGCGACAACGGCGTAACGGTCGAACCACGATATGCGACCAGAGAATCGGAGATCCCACGAACGATCCGGGTCGGAGGCGCTCAATCAAACAATGTATTTGTCCACGGCAGATTGTCCTCCGGCGGATTGATTGATTGACCCGTTGGCAATCGAGGGAGGTGGCCAGCGTCAGGATCTGTCGGAAATTCCCCTTTTCCCTGAGACATAATCCCAGTTCTGTTCTTTGTACCGCACGCACGTTTTTTGTCGCTTTCCACCGACCGCGACCATCGGAGACGCAGGATCACTCACAATTTGGGGTCGAGAAAGAGACCAAGAAGCGACCAGGGTCGACGGAAAAAAGGAATTGGGCGACGAGAAAGGTGACCGAAAAGGAAGGCAATGGGGTTGGAAGTAGTACTCGAGAGGGTCACTTCGATGTTCCACGCAGACTAGAAGGCGGCCGGGAGTATTCAATCGGGGGAATCGCACGGGAATTGCGACACATCCAAGGATCGAGAGTCCAGACCAAATTCGAGGGAGGTAAAAAAAAAAAAAAGAGACAAAGAAAATACTAGGGCGTCATGACGGGCCACCAACCGGGCTGAACGGAGAGAAGATGAACACGAGACAGTGAAAAGTGGAGAGGGAGAAGTCGATCGGGTGGGAGACCGCGGGGGGGAAGAGAAGAGAGTAGGAGAGGGAGGAAGAGAGGGAGAGAGCGCGAGGCGTGAGCGAAGCAGAGCAGAGCAGAGCAGAGCAAAGCACGGGGTGAATGTCACAGATAAAGGGGCCGAAATGGCTTGAAGAGAAAGCCAGAAAGACCGAGAGAGAGAGAAGGAAAACAAGTCCCGAGACCAGACGGGAGGGACTTGCAAGGGGGGCGGAGGGCGTGTGGGTGTGATGTGGGAATAGGTTCGGACTTCAGAGGATAGGATAGTCCGTAGTGCAATAAATCCAGGAAAAGAAAATAATAAAAAGAAAAGAAAAAGAAAAGAAAAAAGGTTGCCAGTCAGAGGCAGTGAGTGGTAAGTGAGGAGAGGGGAATGAACAGAGGGGGGGATGGCAAGAAGGCCTGCAATGGGCCAGAGGATCGGACAGGCGATATAACCGGGGATGATAATTAATTGGTGAGCGAAAAGAGAGGAGAGGTGAGAGATGAAGAATGGGAACCGAGAGAGAGAGAGAGAAAGACAGGGAGAAAGACGAAGGGCAAAAAAAAGTGGAGGGCGAGGAAAGTGTGGGTTGAGGTTCTTTGGGCAGTGCGATCCAAGGCTTCGATCTGACCGATGGATACCTAGGTAGTGTGGAGAATTCTGTGAATAACCTGGTCAAGGTAGGATTCTTCAGATACTAGATATTGAGCTGTTTGTTCAGTTCACTCACTTCACTGGTCTTGCAAAAGAGCAAAAGAAGGGAAGTTGCAGACATGATTCTTCCAGACTTCCAGAAGGTCGCGGCACGGCGGGTGCGGGCGTCGTCAGAGACTCGCCGATGGGGCCGATCCGGTATTGTATTTCGGTTCTAGATTCTGTCCGATATTACGATCTTCTATCCTGATCTACTCTCTACTATTCTCTACAGATTACAGAGTCAGACATAAATGCCTCTTCGTTGCCATCTTCCATTCCAATCCCAAGTTCAATCCTGGTAGATATCTCCCTAGGGAGTATATTAATACATACACAGGAATCGAATCCCTCCCAGCCCTCTCCTCTAGTCATCCAGGGGAAGAGTGATGAGCATGAAAATCACACCACTCCATGTACATGTACGTACTTTATACACCGAGTACCCAGTCCAGAAGGAAAAACAGAGTACAGACAACCACACAAAAGAACAAGAGAGCAAGAGAGATAAAGTGAGCGGAGAGAGTGGAGCGGGCACGAAATGACGCCAAAGCGAGCGATCCCATTAGTCCAGCGACCAGCCCTTCGTGGGTTTTCTAGAATCTCGACTACGCCGGACTAAGAATAACCTCCGCCAAAGGATTTGTGGAAGGATTTCTTCTTACCGTAGTGTGTACTCCGGAGTAATTACGGCTATATGGCTATTTTTAATTTCTGCGACCGATGGATTTTGTGTACGGAGTAGGTATGTGCGCCAGACTTATCTAAAGAGAGGAAAGTGAAAAGGGCCATCTCGAGGGGCAATCAGTAAACCTTACGGAGTACACAATACCATAAAAATCAACTGAAGAGTAACACAGTAATTTTGGCGATCTTTGTTTGTGATTCTAGAAATTCCATCCGCATTCCTGCAGCGACTGACTTGGCAACACGTTGAGGGGGAGCTGAGCTGGTGGGAGACCCTCAGGGGTGGCAACCAACCACTGACGCAACTCCGGAAGAGTGATGCATTATGAGATAATCCGCGTTCACAGTGTACACAGACACTGGCACTTGGTTACGGGTTGTAGGTGGCAACATCTCTATGAGTAAATTGATTCGATCAATCAATTTACATCTGTGCACTAAATATACCCTCGAGTCCGAGTCTTTACTCTTTTTTAGTCTTCAATATGACAAAATCACCCTCATTCCGGGGTAAGATATAAAACGGTCGATCATGCGATCATATCCCCAAGTTCCAGGCAGCCCGTCTCTCATGATGACGACGATTCGATCTTTTTTTTTTTTTTCGGTGTTTCTTATTTTAACCGGGACGGCCTGAATAAGGCATTAGTAGTGAGGGACTTTACGGAATAATAATATTCATGCCTTAATCACATTAATATTAATATTAAAATTAATTCTTGCAACTGTGGACTCTTCTTGAAAGTGGACACCGAAAAAAAAAAAGCGGGACGCGAATTGGCTGCCTGGCTGCCTGACTGCCTGACTGCCTGAGGCCATGGATGGTCAACTTGCAAATCCCGTCGCGCCGATTCGTCTAACTAGAGGTAGTTCCCCGGTGCCGGTTACACGCAGATAATAGATATACTAACTACCTGGTAGGACGGTGTATGTAGGTAGGCAGACTCAGGTTACTAGTTCCATTCAAACTGGATACAATGGACTTTCTTTGTTCTCATCATGCAAGGAGGCCCCGGCACAGATCGATCTTTTTAGAACTCTATGTTTGCTGCTCACCTACCAGTCTACATACGATCCACAGATCTGACTACTCTGAGGCCAGAAGGCCCTTGGGTTCCTTTGGGTAAGTCATCTGGGAGCATGCATCGTGCCACTCAAGCTATTTGCTTATTGCTGCTACACCGAGTAATTTATTCGGTACTGTACGTAGTAAGTCTAGATCGGTTGCATGTGGCTCGATCGCTATATATATACGGATACCCGTACCCATCGCCCCCTCGCATTCAGGGATCATCCCCGACAACTTCTCGCCCTCCCCACTCTCCGAATCTCTCATCCATGTCGTTCGTTCTACTGGGTCTACAGGCAGGTACCACTTACCCCGCATCGCCGTGTCGGGCCAAGTCTACCCGGGACCGGGGGTCGTCTTTGTTGGAATCCGGGGTTGGGATTGGATATCATCTTTAAAGTTAGAATTGATTGGCTTCTCTCATTCATCGTGGTAGTATCGGTGCGATTGTAAATGCAAATCCTGAACGCTGAGGGATGGAATCCTGCCCATGCACCTGCCCCTAACTTCCCAATCCCAGACAGACTGCTCGTAAATGGCGGTGTAATCAAGACACGGCTTCTTCGGTAAATGTAGGACCAAGGAAAATACACGGAAACATCGGAAAGAAGGAATAGAATTCAAGGGGCACAAAGAAAAGAAAACACATGGAGTAAAAAAAAAAAAGAAGGGACATTAAATAACAACAGAGGTAGATCGGTAAAAGTCTAAAAAACAACGCTGATGGCAAGTATCCCAAACCCCCTTTTTAAATGCCAGAGACGGGAAATAGGAAAGAAAACAAAGAAACTATCATACACAAGGGGTAGGTAAGGAATCAAGGAATTTGCCCTACGAGAGCAAGTTCTTCAACGACGGACTGGCACTGGCGCCAGACGACCCGTTGGTGCCGTTGGTGTGCCGACTGCTGCTCGTTAGGACCGCCGGTGCCAGGACCGGCGTTTCCTCCAACTTTGCCGGAGTGAGTCCCCGGGGATCAACGTGTGCCTGGGAAACTGGCGGCGACTGGGTCGACGCCTTTAGGACGCGGTCAACAGAGTAGACACGTGGCGGCGGTCCACCGTTCAGGGCACTGAGCGAATGCTGTGGCGAGTGTCGGACCATCGTTGCTTGAACGTCCGGCGGTGAGGCTGATGGCGCGTACGCGCGTGGTCCTGTTGTGTGTGAGGGATGGGGCGATGACATGGCGACGGGCCCGTAGGGACTCTGATGGCTTGGGTACGCCTGAGGGGGCGGGTGGGCAGGATGAGCCCCGCCGTAATGAGGCGGAGGCGCGTGGTGGGCAGGTGAAGGCGCATATCCGTTCATGTGGTGTGTCGTCGTCGGCGGTGGCGGCGGCGGCGGTCCTGGAGGCCCTCCGCGATAGCTAGGAACTGGAATGCCGTTTCGGAGCTTGTTGTCGCCGTATTCACTCGGTCGTTGCTCATATCCCGTGTACCATTCCGGTCCGTTATGTCCGCTGTGCCCGTTGTGCCCGCTGTGCGGGGGCGCGATTGGCCTTGGAAGGACCCCTCCTGTCTGAGGAGGATGCGCGTGAGGCGCGTAAGAAGGACCGTGGTATTCGGCAAGT